TGACGACTTGAAATTTCTTAGGTAGGCAACCGGCTGAACAGAGATGTCGTGCCAGTTGCATAATTAAGAAATTCTCAGTAAATTGCTTATATAGACAATTATGTTATTAGTTTTTTTTTAACCGTCCCTAAAAATCAATTTGGTTCCAAAGTTTCTTTATTGATAATATTGATATTTCATTAGACTCAAATACATCATTAATAGCAATACATAGATTCAAAAATGATTTTAAAAATTTTTTCAACATATTGACATTTTCTTTTTAACATCAATTAATCCATATTCAAATTTATATTTTAAAATGCTTTAATTTGGATGAAATAAAATAATTTAATTAATTTCATCCATTTAAATTTTCTCTTCAGCGAATTGCAATTTCACTCTCGTTTGTTTGAACTTTCTTTTGAAGCCTCTGAAGTGCGCCACTGACAAGCAAAAAAATGATTGGGGCCGATCGGCTTAACCGACTCGAATTGCACCCACAAGTTGACCTGCTGCGGTGTGACGTGCACGACATGCAGCTTTGTGTCGGAACGGCGGACACGTGGGAAGACGAAACAAAAGAGAGAGATTAAAAGTTGGCCGCTGAATTTCCATACACGGGCCGTGTTTGCGCCGAATAATACAGTCGCATAATCTCTCGCTGCAGATAAAGAGACTCATTGTCTGGCCGCATTGTTCTTGTGCTAACTAACTATTGTACTGTAAGGCGGTAGATAGCGAATTACACGGCACACGCACTGAATAGCCCTAATAAACCGCGTTCCGTGTACTTATACACAATACGGCCGTAAATTTGACAATAGAAGTGTTGAAACCCAAATATTCGGTTGCATTTTATATTTATTTATGCTTTTATTCCAAATTCGTTAGAGTACAACTTCAACTAAACTTATATATTATTTAAAAACTTAAATCATTTTTGACAAAGATTGATTTTTCTTGGCTTGCTCAAGTGAGTACAGAACATTAATCAAAATTCTGAATTTATATTCAAGAAATAATTTATTTCAAATGCCCCTCTCAAACTTTACCACTAAAAAAATTGTTTTCAAATAAATTAATTGAAACACTTGAATTTTGAAAATAAATAATTGTCAATTAACTCAAGTAAGTCAGCATCTAAAGCGATTTCAATAATTAAATGACCAAAACACTGACCGGTATTTAAAAAAAAATCTTTATGGCAGAGATTGATTTTTCATATTCTTCTCCTCGGCGGGGTTTCGCAAACTTCCTCTTCTTCCAGCGGCGTGAGGTATTAAAAAAGTTTTGCCTAAACTGCTGGCGCTAAAATTCTTGTTGGCAAACAGGACGATAAAAAAACGGCGGCCGTAAATCAAACTTTTATCATTATCCGATACAAGGAGCATTTTATAAAGCGGCAGGGTGCCGTAAATCGGCGCGCGTAAAATTGATAAGTGCAGCCGCCTGCTGCCGCTTTTAATAAGAGGAAAATGTTTGCAGATAAGCTCTAATTCTTTTTTACGTTATTATTATATGCCGTCTCGTTTTCATCCGGCGGAGGATATTGAGTGGCGCGAGCTGGCTGGAATTACACTCGCGCGAGCACAAACGGAGGCACAAAATTGCTAATTTAGCGAGACGGGCGAGGGGGTTCTTCGCTATGACTTTTGTTCAAGTTTCCCTCTGTATATTTATGAATAATTTGTCGCTGCGAAACTAAATTTTTGACGACTGCAACACAGAAATTCTTGCGTATAATTTCTAATTTCATGTTTCCTCCTTTGAGAGAAACAGATGCTTGTCGCTGATACTCGTTCAGACGAAAATGAAAGTGAATTTTTACAAGAGTTTTAATTTAATGTTGCGAGAAAACGTCTCATTTAACTCGACGAAGCTTCTGTTGCAAAAATTTGAAAGCTCCTAACGGCAAAGTTGTGCAATTTACTTGAGGATTGAAAATTTCCAAGTTTGTAAACGCAGCCCCGAGCCACCTGATTATGGCAAACTTGCTTTGCCTTCTCAGAGGAATTTCGCGCACGACTCGAGCGACTCCTCATTTCGCAGAAACAGCTCGAGGCGCATTCCCAGGGGCCAAGAGCGTTGATTTATCCGTGCGATAATTTGCTGCAATTGGGTGTTATCAGAGTGAGTTGCTCGGCCCGCACCCTCCGCATAGGGGCTGCTCTATTATGATCCACAGCAAAGGCAGCCGAGGATGAGGGTGCACGGCTTAGGGGTGCATTTATGTGCCGTGAATTTCGTGCGAGGCCAATTATTTGTCTGCTTCTGTTTCTACAACAGGGATGAGGAAATTGTGCTTTAATTGACGCAGATAATTGTTTGCCTCAAGGGGTTTTATCAAAAGGTGAACAGGGTGTTGGTAACTGCAAGTTCTTCGCTGTACCAAAGTCAATCATTTCTCGTTTTAAGGAAGTCTCCTAGCAATAAAACTGTATTAAGGCAATCAACATGATGTATAATAATTTTTCAAAATATAAATTAAATTTTTGGTTAAAAGAACAGCTATTAAATAAATTTATGCTAATAATGAGGAGTTAATTGGAAAAATTGTTGAGGTACTTTTGGAATAGACAATGCAAATAAGGAAAATGAGATGGATGAGTAATTGAGTATCTCTCATGTTTTGTGGAATTAAATCACACACAAATCAATTCAATTTCAAAATATTATTCCTTTTCCTTTTCTTCTCCAAAAATTACAGGAATCTTTCTAGTTCTGAATAATGAATATTGAACGTTTCATATAAAAAGACATAGATTTCATGCCCAAAGTGTTTTTCCTTGGTTGTCAAATCCTTTTCTACATGGTTGGCTTGGCTCCTGTTGCAGTCAGGTTTAAAAAGAAAATGCCAAAAAAAATATGTAACTGTCCGTTTGATGTTTGGCCCCAAGATGCACCTCTAATTTCCAGGGGGGTTTTTGAGCTGCTGCGAAATTCATGCACGTGCTCCTGGTAATTACCCTTCTCTCGGCGGCCAACTGCGTCAGACTATGAAACCCTATATCTTTACACAGGCTAATGAGCAAAGTTCATATTTTAGTGAGTGTGACACCGAGCTTAGGCTAAGACGGCTCGTGCTAATCCACCACCGGATCAGACCTTTCCATCCGCCCCTGTGCCTCCGCCGGGCGCTTTTTATTGAGGGTAGAAACGCCGTGATGAATGGGCTGCAGACTGAGGCCACTTTTTTCTCATTGGGATCCCTGCCGCTTTATATTATCTTCTACGCAGCTTAATTCTTAAACCTGGGAGTCTATAGTTGAAAGTGAAGGATGGGAAAAATAAGTAATAGATCTTCTTTTGAATTTAATTCAAGTAAGCCTCAAATGGAGTAAAAATAGGTTGAATTAATTCAATATTTTAAACAGTTACAAAATTCAAATATTTTGAAACTCCACTAGGTTTGTCATTATATTTACAACCTTGCTTTTGTGCAGATAAATAGGATATATGTCTGGAAAATAAACTCGTCCTTTCTCCCTTTCAAAATTAGCCCGTAAATTTCACTTTTCGTCTGCTTGTGTCGACTTTTGCCCCCGTGCGCGCGTATTTGTTTGGCAAACATAATAAATTACGCCAGGAGAGAAGTTTGCTCTAGTTTCCTGTCAACCGCGTGTTATGTTAGCGACTTCAAATCAAATGCAAGCCAGCAGAGCAGCCACTTTCCGTATAGTGGTGGCCGCAAAGCTTAAGCCGCCGCAAAAACTTGGCGCTGCCAAGCTCAAATCTGGAGAAACTCAGAGTGCAGTACGAAAGGGAGGAAAAACTCCATTGTCGTCCTCTTCGCGGCTTAGGGGGAGCGCATCTTTTTTCCCCTGTTAATCATTTGGTCGGGCTTTTAGCTCAGAAGTAAATATTTCAGAGCTTCAAACTTTGATTCAAAAGTTTTAAGGGTTAGACTCCTCAGCACAAAATTAGTTAAGCACTCTTTTCTTTTTGTTTGAAATTAAAAAAATAATCTGCCCCTTTTAAAAGCAAAATATATTTTAAATGGGATTTTAAGCCAGAAAAGGAGGCGAATCACAAGTCATAAGGAATTTAGTTGACCTTGCGGAAAAAAAAGATGAAAATATCAGTTTAACAATAAGATTGATTGTGGAGAAATTAAAGCTTCTTTTAAAGATTTATTTTTAAACTTGTATTTAAGGCTGCAGTAAACATTATGACCTCTTAATGTAAAAGTAAAATTTAATTTAAGTGGCCCGTTTGATTACACACAAATTTTCCCCTACCCTGCAATGCATCATAGAGCAATTAAATAAATTATTTTGTAGGAATATTATTTAAAGGGAATTCAGAGAGTCCATCCTCTTTAAACAAATGCTGGCAAAATTTGATATTTATGGAGGCGTAAATTTTCGTCGGAAAAACACTCAGGCAAACAAGCTCGGTGCTCCCACACACCGGCACGCTGTGCATAGCAAAAAAGGGTTAATTACCCTGCTCTAATTACAAGGCCCGCCTCGACAAACAGCGAGCTCTGCGCCGGATTTTCTCACGTGCATTTTAATGCTAGATCCATTAAAAGCTTAAAAAGAAGCCGCTTTTTGCTCGAGCCGTTACTTTCAGCTGCTGTTAGTCAGTCAGTTGGGCTCATTATCTCGCCGCCGAGCACAAAGACACTGTTATTGCAGCGCTGTAAAAACTTTGCAGTTTCCAGCAGCCTTTTGTGTCGCGCCGGCCTGGCGAGATAGGCAGCGCCGCTTCACACCTCGGTTCTGCTCGTTGCATATTTCACTGCGGTCTTTTGTTGCCGCTCTCCAGCAATTTCCTTTTACTGACAAGGTCGCAGCTCATTCTTCTACAAAATTCGTTTGAAAGAATCTGAAAAATGAGCACTTTAGTGGGTTTTTCCAAACTTTTGTTTAAAATAATGGCCATAATAAAGAAAATAAAATAATACATCAAACCTTTTCACTATTGTATAATTAATTAGGACTTATATTAACTATTTTGAAGTTAGTTGGTTTCTATACAATAAAAGTTTCATTCATAATTTCTTGTGCCCCTAGGCGGCCAGCAAAATGAGGAGCCTGCGCACGAGGACGAGGCCTCAGAGTCGGAACAAGAGCATGGCGTTGGCAGTGATGATGAGGAGCAAGATGCCGGCGGAGCTTTTTCCGAGGTTCAGGAGCAGAACTTCAACTTTGAAGAGTTCATCAACAGGTATACACAATCGCAAAACACTTGCAGGCATGCTGTTAGTTTCTGACAGTGGGATGAACTCAATTTTATTAATTAAAATTAAATTAATTAATTAAATTATTCTTCACAACTTTCTGAAAAACTTTTTGTATTATATTATTAATTCCTAGATTTATATTTTTTTAAAGAAGAAACTCTTTAACTAACAAAAACTAATATGAAGAACTTTATTTGTTCTAAATTCAATTTGAAAAAATAATATTGAATAAAAAATTATTTCGTGACAATACATTATAAAATTTATTTAAAACTAAAACAACAATGTAAATTGTTTAATTAATTTCCTTGCACTGATTTTTATTTGCTGATGTTTAATCAATTTTGCTTTAAAATTACAAATCATAACACTACTTTTTAAAATTGCAGATTTGCTCATCCTAGAGTTGTGGCAGCATGTGCCCTTATGCTCCGCAGCTTCGACAAGCCCGGTGTCCGGCACACCCATATCCATGCTGCTGTCAAACTCCTGCACAGAATTTGCGTTGACGGCAAGAAGCCAGCCATGGCCTTCCAAGCGTCCTTGTTTAGAACTTTCCAGAGAGCTCTCAGGGCCCAGAAGAAAGGCAGCATTGGCGCTGCAAATGCAAGAGTATGTGTTTATTCAGATAAATATTTTTTGTATGCAAAATAAAATAATATTCCTCCATAATTTGCACTGCATGCTCACTCGAGCTGTTAAATTGAAAATGCTGATGTTTACACATGAATTGCCTTTTGCAGGAGCTGGCAGACTTTGCGAAATACATTATGCAGCAGTTTGCCAAGATCTCGAAAACAAATCCCCACATTTTCCTCGAGTTGCTGTTTTGGAAACACTCCAGAGATGCACATGACATTGTTGATGGCTATGGAAGCTATGAAAGGTTTAAAAATATTTTTTACCTCTGAATATATTTTCTAATAAAAATTTGAATAGTTCCAAGACTATGAATAAAAATGCTTGGACCGAGCAGCAAGAGGATGAGGTTCAGAGGCTGGCTGCCGAATTCAAGACTAAAATGGAAGAAGAGGCTGGAAGAATTGGTAAATTACTCATTTTCATTCTATACAAATTGCCACAGTTCAAAATTAAACACAAGCTTTAAACAAATATTTGGTCAATTTAATCTTATTTTATCAGTCATTGTGCTTACTTTTGATTTATGAAGATAATTCACTTTTATGATGTTTTTAAAATTTTGAGTAACTTCAACTTATTTACAAATATTTTATTTGCAGATGAGAGTTCCCTTGTGGATCAAGTTTGGGAGAGCTTAATTGACTCCCGTAACCGTTCGAGAATTGCCGTCTACAAGAAAATGAAAGAATTGGGGTTGATCACGGTATAACTAAATTATCCACTCAAATAATAACTAATTTACACTTTTTGGCAGGGAACAAAGGGAATCTCTGGCAGGGTTACGCGATGGACGGACGAAGACGTGGAAGAGCTTACAAGGCTCTACAACCAGTACAAAAATGATATCAGTAATAGAGCACAATTGAAGGCTGTAAAAAAATCCAAATGATAATTTTTATAGATCCTGTGCAGAGTATTTTTGAGAACCTTCTGAACAAACGCAGCAAACAGACCATTCGGAAGAAAATAATCGAAATGGGCTTGGCTACTAAAGAGATGCTGGCCCGCAAAAAAGGAAAGAGAAGGCTTGGTTGGTTGAAAAAATTTCTTTTGTTCTTCTGAAATTAATAAAATGCCTATCAGGTCAAATGGGTGGTGAGAGTGACCAGAGTGATGAGGATGATTTGTCAGAGGACGACGGAGAACAAGAACATGCTTCTCGAGGCAAGGAGAAGTTTGTCTACAGCAAAGCAAGTGCAATTGACTCTGTCAGGGCTGTCATGGAAAAAGGTATTTATTATTCTAAAGCTTTTAGGCTCTGGGATCCCCAGTATTGAAGTTTTAAAGCTTCAATTTTTTACTTCCAATTTAATGATTTATTTTTTCTCCAGGCATGTCAAGTGGTGTTCGCTGGCTGATGATGAGTGTCAATGAAACCATTCATGACAGGGCTGAAGACGATGATGACGAACCATCACCGTTGATTCCAATGTTGGAGGAAGATTGTGATGCTATGGAGGATGAGACTTTCCTTACAATGCTCAGAAAATTGGGCATGTCAGAGCCAGTTGGGGGACAAGTAGGTTTAATTGAGTTTGATTGTGATGAAGCTTTTATATTGGGAGATAATCCAAATATATTTTAAAAACCACTAATTTATATAATTTTATTGATAGGAAACAAATTGGCGAATCCCAAGTGAGCTCTCTGTAGCCGACCTGGAGGAAAGAGCTCAAATTCTTGCCCATGCTCTGGACGGCCGCCTTGATTCGTTGATGCCTCCGAGAAACAAAACACCAGAGCCTCAACAGTCGCCAGAAAGGAGGAGAGTCGTCAGAGGAGCTCTCGAATCAGATGATGACCTCGAGCCAGAGAGTTCGGCCCTTGAGAGGCGTGAAAACAACCAAAATGGCAAGAGGAGGAGAGGTGAAAGTTCAGGCGAAGAGGAAGATGACGAGGAATTGATGAAGAAACTTTTCCACTCCACAACACCAGCACACCCGGGGAAAGAAAAGGTTTCAGGCTAGATTTAGTATTTAATTAATTTGGTCAGGTTGAGTAATTTTTAAAAAGTAAATAGTAAAAAGCAAATTTAAAGAAATCGTGGCTTAAAACATATTCTCATATCACAGAAGATAAATTATGATATAATAAAGCTGCAGGTAATAAAAGTTGAAAAACTAATTTATATAGTTTCAAACTTAGTATATTGGCAAATACAATCTCCATTTTGTGTTTGACTTTTTTATTTTAGTTAAAAACATCTCAACTTCTGACGACTTTTTGTAACCTTGCTCTGCAGCCTCATTTTGTTAGCAAAATACTGTTTTGTTATTATGCAATGCATCCGGGGGGGAAATTATTATCTCGTTTTAATATTAACTTTTGTTGAAAAATTATTGAGAGGAGGAAAAATTTTTATCACTATGATCCCACAGTTTTACTAGTTTGATTATTATTTAAAGAAGATGCTATATTTTTGTTTAAATCAATTATTTGACTTGGAATTTTTTTTATTTTCTAGACTTCGTCACTCTCATCTGCCAAAAAGAAATCTCGCTTGATGACCATAGACTCGAGTGATGACGAAACAGAGCCTGTCAATGAGCAACCTGCAGTTCTGGCAAGTTTGACTGTCTCTGAAAATATAGACGAAGCAAGTCTTGTCGCAGAATTGGCCAAAGAAGTGGCAGACTTGGAAAGTGAAGTCGACTCCGATGACGAACCCACTTTGCACATCCACATGAGCTCTGATGCAGGTAAAAAATACCGTTTTACTTTTTAAGCATCAATAACATAACTACTTTTGAATTTTAGAAAATGATTCTCCAAAGAAGAAAAAGACTCGACGATTAGTTATTGAGGATGATAGTGACTAATTTAAATTCTCAAGTGATTGAAATAAGTTAGGTACAAGGCAGTCGGAAGGTTGATTTTTCATATTTCAGGTGCAAACTATTTTACTCTCCTGATGATGGATTTTCTAATAAACAAATCAAAATAACCAAATCACCTGACTCATTTTTTATTAAAATTTTTAAGTGATTTATCTTCATTTGTCATAGATTTAGAATAGAGTGATAAGGGATGATGCATTTTTTTTTTAATAAATCAAAGAAACACATCAGGAAGACGGAAATTTTATTTTGTTTACTAAAATAAAAACCTATAAAATAATAACTCATGCTATTATTATCTTTAATGTTGAAAAAAAAATAACAAATATTGTGCCAATAGCTTTAAAAAAAACTTTTCTTATAAAAAGAAGAGTTTTTAGCTCAAAGAGAAAAAGGTTCCAAATTTTTATGTAATTTCCGGTAATTTCTTCGAATTTAAAAAAAAAATGAAAAAAACGACCCATTCCTTTTTAATTCATGTAGCTCAAAAAAATTATTTTGTTTTGTTTTTAATTTTTGGTTATAATTTAATATTGACGTAGTAATTGGTGAAAATGAGCCTACACATTCAGGCACAGGCAGTGTCATCATCCAAAATGTATTGTGTGTTATTCTGTGGGTCTCTGCGGGGATCATTCTTTTCTCACACTCGCATGGGGATTTCCCCGTGCCTGGGCATTGCATACCACCTTCAACACTATCTGCACCAACAGTGCTTTCAGTCTTCCACTAGGATGAAATTCAATCATAAATTTAACTAAAAATCGAATAATTTTACTTCCTAAAATGAAAAATTTCTTCTTTGAACCAATGAAAAAATATAAAGAAGTGCGCCGTTTGGAAAATCTTCTAAAATTCACCCCCATCCCCCGAGAGAAAGCGATCCCACGAGGAGCCCCCGTGGCATCGATCGCCGTTGCTTCCTATTGCCGTGAGTCATCCCCTCCCCTGAATGACTCATGCCCACGTGGTGCAGCGAGAAACTTTCGCGGGCGGGGTCACGTGGTGCGGCTCCGTTGCAGGTGCCTCTCTTTCTCGCGCCGTCTGACCACGTCTGACCTTGCCGCCTAGGAATGCGTGCTTGGTGATTGAACTTGCACGGAAATGCGATAAAAGGCGTTTTTTTTCACCCATATTATTTGACAGTGACTCTCACGCACACGTCGCGTATTATCTCCCGAATAATGATTTTTCGCTGCTCCCAAAAAAATGTTTTTTATTTTCAATTATGTTGCGCGTTTTTCTTTCTCTGTCCACGTTCTCGCGGTTGATCGCACATTTTTATCTGTTTACCTCCCGCGCTGATTGCCGCCGGGGCGGAAAGCGAATTAATGGACTAACGAATGTTTCGGAATAATTAATTAGTGCGGATCGGAGCGTTAGATAAAATGTAAACAGAGCCTAATGGCCGCTGGGACAATAATTATCTTTCTGTTTATTTTCTATTTTTGTCCCATTGCGTTTTGTAAAAAATTCTGACCTTTACCAGAAATAGAACCGACTTGCATTTTTAATCAGTATTATTTTTAATTTCTATTTCATATTCTCGCTCGCTTTTTTACGCAACAGATTTAATTCCGTTGCGGTGAGGTGTACAATAATTGGATGGGTCGTCGCCGCTTATGTAAAATGCTATTTTTGAAACTGCGCCTGACGACTTATTGTCTGTGCTTTGCTTCTTTCATTTTAAATGTTCGGTAAATCACGCGTTAGACCTTCTATAAAGTCCTACATCGGGAAATTATTTTGATAAGAAAAATATATATTTAAAAAAAATGGAAGAAAAGTGCTAATGCCTATGCCTGCATTAAATAAAAGTGATCTTGATTGGAATTTCAAGAAATTTTTAATAAATTCTACTGAAATAATAAAATCGCTATTTCATCTAGTGAATTAAAAAAAAAATTGTAATGGCGAGTTTCAATTTTTTGTTTTTAAAAGATAAGAGAACTAACTTTGGGAAATAAAATCAAAAACTTTTTTTTGCCAATACTTTCAAATTTGTTTTATTTTATCGCTGTTTAAATTGAATATGATGAATGGCACATTTTAATTAATAAATTTTGCCTTCCCTTATTTTTCATTTTTTAAATTTCATGTTTTCAAAGTGCAACTTTTTGAGGCTATTTTTTCGTTGTGCCACATTCCAAATGATACGGCAATGCAGTAATTTACATAGGAATGTCATCATGAGTCTCAGAGCCGTCGAGAACGTTCTGCAAAAAAGAAAGGTGCTTGCTTCCCACCACTGGTTACATGGAACCGCGCCTCCTCTCTTTTTAATCGCGAGCACCACACATGTGACCAGCCATGGCCGCGCGACGCGAGTACGTAATTCTTAATAAAAAATCGCCGGCCGGCTTGGAGCCGCGCATCCTGTTTGTGAAGAAATGTTGAATAACAAATTAAGTTTTATAAAATAAGTTTTATTTAAATAAAACCATAGCTGCTTTTTTAAAATTACTCGCTTGCTTGGAGGAGAACGCGTGTTGGATGACAAAGCGAGAAAAACGGGGGCGCCCACGCGCGAAAGAGATAATTTTTTACCAAATCGGTCAATAATGATGTAATCGTTTCTTTGCGATCATTTTCCAAAAATAGAGAGTCCTATTGACCTGCCAGAAAATTATTTTCTATTTCTTAACCATTTCGATTTTTGTTTCATTATGGAGAAAAAAATTGGTTATAAGAAATAATGATTATCAACTTTCTTATTCAAATTGCATTCTAATTTTTTTTTTTTACAAAAATTTGTAAAAATTCTTATTCAAAAGCAGGCTTTATTATGAAATTAAATGTTGTTGTTCCTTTGCTTTTAAGAATGAATTTTTTGTATTTTTATGATGATATGAATGTGAGTGATTTATTTTACAAAATGAATATTATATTCTAAGTTTTGTTAAAAATAACGTTGCATAAAATAACATTGAAACTTCCCTTCAAATACATTTATTTAATTAATTCATTTTAAATTTGCAAACCAGTTAAGATATTAATTAATTATGACTTATTATTTAATTATATTTTTGTTATTGGAAACTCATGTGCAATTTTAAAAACTTTTGTAATTTGCACTCTTTCTCTTTTCTCAGGTGGCAGAATCTTTTAGCCTTTCTGGGCTCTCCCCCATTATTTAACTTCATCTCCTTTTGTTGTGGAGAGGAGAGCAAAAAGATAGCTTTGATGTTGGCCAGGAGCGCGATCTCTGCCTCAACAAGTTCAATCCTGCACAAGGACGAGCCCAACAGCTGAATGGAATTATTTTACCGAGGGGCTCGCCAAACACGTCTGAGCCTGCACAGATCAGGATACAGAGATAATGGCCGTTTTTTATTATTTTACATTTCGCCTCCTTATCGCTTGTAGAATGATTTTTTATTTTCTAGCTCGGCGTGATTTATTTCTCGAACAGAAAAATTAATTGGGAAAAAATAGTTTAATAAATAAATAGTCAGTTTTTAATACTGGATTTGTTTCCTTGTTAGCAGCCTTTAATGTCACGCAGAAATTTTTATCACATTGTTTTTTATCTTTAAAGTACCCATTTGATAACACATACATATTTCACGCGCCGCTCTATGCAAACAACAAACCTGTAAAATAAATGAAATCATGGATGATGCAGCTGATAAAAATGTGAATTTAGAATGGGATGAATCAAAGTTGCGTTTTGGCTGGATTTGAAAGTATATTGAACAAATATATGTTAAGTAAAAAAATTGGAAATTTTGGCAATTTCGAATCGTCAGCACAAAATAAAAATTTAATACAGACACGCACTAAATCTTGTATAAAAACAATCCAGAGTATTTGAGCGAACACTTATGATATAATGTTAACTTTCTCATAGACGGCACAAGGCGCGGCACCGAACTAAATGAAATTGTTTGCTCCTTTCATTAGTGTGGAGGTCCCACAGATAATTATAAGTGCCGTGTTATAAAATATATATACTTTATTACCTGCAAACTTGTGTTTGAATAAAAAATTCTTTAAATCGACGCTGAAGAAAGCAATTTTTGATAAGAAATATATTTTTAATTTAATTTTTTTTTATAATGTAATTTTTAATTTCTTTTTTGACAGTTTCATGTTGGGGGCAAAGTTGCCCATGCAATTAGAATTTAGAACCAATTATCATTTTGCAATAATGTTATTATGTGTGTCTAAACCTTTCATTTTTTACCTTTGTTAGAAGAAAGGAATTTTGAAATTTGTAAAAAGATATAACCAAACTAACTAAGTAAGCTTTTGTATTTTGTTAAAATACAAAATTGTGTACAAATACAAATAACATTCTTCATAATTTCATCTTTACAAAATACCGCAAAATACTTAAAATTTAGTCATGCTCACAATATTAAAAATTATGGTTTTAATTAATTTTTTTTATGTAGATTTAAAAAAGTTTCCAATCAACTGTTATTATAATTATTAAATATTTTTCAATAAACGATATTTTTATTTTAAAAATATATTTGTGTCCATAAATATTTTTTTTACAGATTTCTGTAAACTATTTCCTGATTTGATTGCTGAGCGCCCCTGTTGTTGTGTTAATATTTATTGAGTGGCAGATTATCTTGCCAGAGGGGCCACGAAAGGTTGGCACCGTCGTTTGGTTCCCCCTAAGTGTGCGTGTGGCTGTACTCAGACAGGTCTGAACATGTTGAGACTTGCACAGATCGGTCGCGGCGCTCGTTTTCTCCTCTGCTAGCTTCCTTTTGTGCGCGGCGGCGGCCACGGTAAAAAACGCACAAAATCACTCCAATAAAGCGCGAGGGGATTTTCTTTCGTTCATCTGCTCGCGCGCTCAGGAAAGCAAGATCCTTTTGTAATAACCTTGGCCCCCTTTTGTGCGTATGCCTCACTTGCACTACCGTCTTTTAAATCCAATCGCTGACCATAGTTTCCCTCAGCTGGGAGAAATAAAAATGAGTTACCTGAGATTTAAAGGTCGCGTTGGGAAATTCTGAAGGGAATTTAAATTCCTGGAAAAGGGTTACCAATGATTGACGGAAAAATGCACTCATGCTGAATAATAATTAATTAATAGGAATTATTTATTCACACATGGATTCCCTTCTTGCTATTTTCATGAAATGTTAAAAAGATAAAGAGATAGGATAGATATATTTGGCCACACATAATTAATAAAAACAGGTATTTAAGGCGATATTTGCTGCTCTTTGAAAAGGTTTCTCTCAAACTATCTATTTTTTTTATCTTCAATTTATTCTTGAATAAAAATTTTTTTAATTAAAATCCAAATCTAACAAATTTTTGTCGACCGAGGAGAAAGTTGAGAAAATAATAATGATATTAAACATATTAAATATTCAAAAACCTGTTTCACGTTATTTCCGTTTTTTTTTACAAATTTTAATTTATTAATGTGATGACGTTATAGTACTTTAAAATTAGCTCATATATGGAGAAAAATATAAATACATTTTCAATAGTTTAAAACTATTTTAAAATAATTAAGGAAAATAAGGAAATATTTACATACTAGCACATACAACGCCAAAAAATCGCATTTTCTAGAGCAATCTACGCAAATTTTGACACTAAAAATCCCACTATTGTAAATATTGTTGGGGAACGCAAGATCATGCCATTCAGAATCAGACCAGACTGCATTTATTCAATAAATTGAATGTGTTTAATTAGCAAATTAACGAAATGTTTGTATTGGTTTTACTTTTCTGATTTATCTTTTTGGAATTCAAATAAATTTATTTTTTTTATCAAAGGATGATACAAAAATGAAATTTGATATTGCGATAAGAAAATATAAAGTTCCAAAGGAAAAAAAATAATATTCACAAAATCACATTCAAAGTGCACCTTTTGTTATATAAAATCCATTTTCTTCAACCATCAGATGAAATATTACGCCACAGTCTGCAGGCGCCAGGCGTGGGAAAATTCAATAAATTCCTCTTGCTTTCAGAAGTGACTCTATATCGAAGGGTGGCAGATTATTATTGATTTTGTAAATATATTTTGCTCCGTCGATTAATTTTAATAAATAACCAAATTAATCATGAAATTTAATCGGTAATTACCATTAAATCAATATCATATAATAAAAACAACGATATTCAGTTTAATTATTTAAAAAAAATATCTCCCTTGATTCCTTGAATTTGAATCGCAGAATCCTGGTCCTAGACCAAAGGCTGCAGTATGAAGTATGTCGGAAGTTATGTTTGATGTGACGCAAGTGCATTATTATCTCTCGAAAGTAAATAGGGCTAGTTGGAAAGAATTTCAGATCACATGGTTTGATAATGAGTGGTGTGCATGCAGGGTAAATAATTGACCTCGACGAGGGCGGCCGAGGGTGGTGGGAGAACGAGGAAAAGATTCGTGAAAATATCAGTGCCGGTAGGGCAGTGGGGGTAGGGGTGTCTGGTGGTTGTGCCGAGGTGCGACCGACCCACGCGGAAGGCCCTAACTAAGACTATCGGAATCGCAGTTCAAGTTCACTCATACCTGTGTGTGCGCTTGACGTGTTCAGACGTGTTTCGCTCGGCTCTCCCCCGTGTCTCTTTTTTTGTCTCCCATCGCAGCAGCAGCCTTTCCACGTGTCTGGATCGCCCAACGTCTGGTCGCTCTTTCATCAGCCCAATTACCTCACACGTGCCTTTCGGGAAACCTCCGTCCCTGTTCTTTGAAATTTTCAAAAAAATTGCTACCATGCAGTACAGCAACTTCAGCATCTATCGCGAAAACACCGAGCCTCAGGTTTGACATTAATTTTCATTTTGTAAAGATTTTTCTACCTTAGTAAATTGAGTTATTATAATTTTGAAATGAATATAATTTCAATAATATATTTTTCGGTTTAGAACTTCATAATATATTAACAGAAACAAAATAACTCAATCTACTAGTCTTGAAAAATTTTAATTTATTTGTGAAACTGATTTGTGTGTTTACTCAGTAGTGTTATAATTACCTGCATGCAAATTTTTAAACTGAAAATAATTATGATGATGCTATCATCAGAAATTTTGCATCGAGCCTCTGGCCTAAAACTGATAATGTGATAATTATCTATTGATTTAAAAACGAGAGTGTTATTCATCAAAAATAATTCATATTTAAACAGCTTAAAAATTTATATAATTCAAGAATTAAATTTACAATATTCAACATTTTTAATGGAAAATTTCCTAAAATTAATAAAAAAAAAGTCCACTAGACTTTAATTATTTTATCACCGCGTCCTTATCTTTTCCCCAGTTTGACTCCGACTGCAATCTAAGTTTTTTTTACAACAATTTCATGATCTCTAATAATTATAATTAATGCAGCTTTTAATTGTTATTTTTTAATCATATCATGGCGATCTAATTGGTTCTATTTTTTTTTTTTAACCGGAAGGTAATATGGAGACAGAGCCGAGATCGAGCAATAAATTTGCATGATTTTCTGAAACGGCGGCGGATGAAAGCCAAATATTCGATCGAAAAATTCCTGTGCATTCCAAATTGACCGCGTGCTCAAGGGGTGGCCGGGGGTGGCGCGGATTAAGGGTGAATCGGCGCGGGTGCGTTCGCCTTTTGCACCCCCGAGTTTCGACTCGCGCGCGCTGAGATCGCCATTGGCCGTGTTTGACGTAATGCCGCTCTCTGATTGGTCGGCGATCACGTCATCTGATCGTGGGGCGCAGGCGCGCCGCCAAGCGACGGCCGCCGAACCGTCGCCGTCACAAATTTCGTCAGTCTTTCTCTGTGCTCGCCAGTGAAAGAGTTCGCGTTTCGTCTTGTCATCACCTTCGGAACCCAGTTCGAACCCCGCCGTCGCGTGCCGACCGTTCTTCCGTCGCTGTCGCCTTCGTTCGTCGCCATTATCCGCTCGCAGGACCAATCTTTCACGGCTCAGGTGGGTTTTTGCGCCCTAATTTTCAATCCTTGTTGCCATGCTCGGCTCACGTGCGCCGTGTCCGTCCGTCAACCCACCGCGGGTGACGTTTCGATTTTCTCGTCGTCGCCGCCGGGGTGTATTGACCCCAAGGTCACCTCATTATGCCAATAATTTTCGATTTTTCTTAATTTCTTCGAATCCAATTTATATTTTAAGGCTGAAATTAAATAATTTTTGAAATTTTATTTAATTTGACTTTTTGAGATGAATTTCAAAGTTTTTAAATGATTTTTTATTAAACCAAAATCATTTATTTGGTGGCCATTTTGTGGAGAGCAATCTGTAATATTTAAGTCCCAAGAAAGTGTCTTTTAGAAGATGTTGCACAACGTGCGTTAATTTTCTCCGCTAATCGAGCCTCCTTCGGTCACCTCCTTTTTTACGGTGGTTGTACTTTGCGCTCTTGATCATACTTGTTCGACTTTTTAAAAGTCTAATCTTTAATTTCCACTGCGAAACGTTTTTAACTTTCCTTACAGCCTTGTTTGGAATTGCCCCAATAATTTAAATCTAATAATTGGCATAAATTAAATTTTCCATATTACAAAAAAATCCTTAAATGTTGATTTTTATTATTAAATCTCTATTTCTGCATTTTTGAAAGACAGATTTCATTTAACAGACGAGCAATAAAACATAATAATGATATTTTGAAAAAAAATGTATGTTCTATCTCAACTCAGATTTGCTTAATAATTATGTTATTCGTTACATAACCATTCGATAGAAAAGTCCTGTTTTTTTAAATTTATTTGTATGCTTCACAAAAGAAATGAAAAGTAATAGTCTATGTAATTCTGCCACGTTGGACTTATAAATTTGTTATCAAATAGGCAGGCAGAGAGAAATATTGAAAGCAACTTTCTACTAAATTTTATAAAAATATCAAACGCTTCTTTCAATTTTAATGCAGGCAAAGAATAATCGTAAATTTTAGTCATATTTCATGTAGAATCCTCTACCAGTATAGAGATTAGTTTGAGGAAAAGGAAGCATAATTTTTCAAAATAACGGCAAAATTTGTGTTAGAAAGTTAACATGTATTTCTACATCTGTGGCATTAAAAGCTGCAAATTATATAAATTACTCGTCTTTGCCTGAAATTCATCTTATAAAATATTGTAGTACGTTTATTTAAGTTTTTAATTTTTTTACTTTGCTAATTTTACGGTGAGTGAACTTTGTGTTGTCTTTGAATTTTAAATGAGCAACTGAGCGAATGTCGTTTGGACCGTGTGTGTTTCAGGTTGGTTTCAGGCCGAAAAACGGAGTCACTTTTGGCGCTCAAACTCAACTCTTAACCACCATCAGCAGTTACCAAGCACGGCGAATCACTTGTAGGTATATCTAGGAGAAGTGTCTCTCTCTAGACCTCCTTTTATGATCAGATAACCTACTGAAAAGCCACTACTGCCTGGCGACCTTTTTTGGAAAAAAGGTCCTTGCGTGGTTGCTGATGAGAGTTGTCGACGCAGCTAAACTTCAAACAGAAAAACCAGCGTGCAATTCGCAAAATAAATTGTCGCCTGTCCACACCGAGAGAGATCCTTTTCAGGACCTCTTCCGGTCCGGATGGGATCGAGTTTATTTTCGAACGTCTCATGCGTGAGAGTGACGTGTGGGACTTAATGTGTTTGACTTAATTTATTAATTAATTTAATTATCAGAAATTTCGGGTGAAAATTGATTTTTGACAGTTTTTTTGGGGCGAATTTTTGCAGGCCCGTGAAAGATGCCAATTGCCGTCTCTGGAGACCCGAACAACAATTGGATCGCGCACTATCTTCTCAGATATGACCAGGTATATGAACGCCATGCCTCAGCCCTCCGCGGCACCGACCTCCGGCCCCCGCCCCGACTGCGGCGGCGACCTTTGTCAGCAAAGGGCCAGGCTCCAGGTGGCCATGCCCAATCAGCTGGTTAACTGCGATGAACTCAACACCCCAGTGATTGGTGAGTTTCAATTTTTTTGAAAATAATATTTATATAAAAAAATATTTTTTATATACAATTCCTTAATTTTTGTTTCAATTGTTGCTATGCAGATTGTGTTACAGACCATTAGGCAATTTTTCTCTAAAAAAAGAGGCTAGCTTTGATCTTTTTTGTTTGGTGGGGAAATTCCTCAATATGAAGCAGGTTCAAAGCCATCTTGTAAACGGTTGTTCCCCTCTTCAGTTTCCCTCTTGACTGGTTTAATTATATCGACAACTATGGGACAGATAATTTTTTGCCGCATTCTTGTGGGGGACAAAAAGATATGTATCGGTGCCTAATTGATAACAATATCGATATTCGCCCACGATTTGGGAACTGACACCCCTACTACAACAGAGGAGGGGGCCTTAAAAAGTCTAACCTTATCCCCCATCTATAAAGCATAATAGCGACAACTTAAACTCTTTATTCAGCAGCCAACCTCCGAGGAGGAAACATCTCATCTTTAACTCTCTTGGTGTGTTTAGTTAACGATTTAGCAAGTCTGAACTTGGCATTAGACTTGAGCTATCAAACTTTCTTTCATTTGGCCTGCTACCAACTTCTCAAATAAAACAATTAAAAAAATATTAATTATTAATTGCTTAGGCGATTCTTTCCCATTTCCCTCGATTAAATTTTTTATTTTTTTTTTCTTAAATAATTAATTTTGGTTTTTACAACTTTTTTATATTGGACTTTTTGCTTTGTTGCAGAGTCCGAAAACATTTTTGAAAACATGCAAGACGGCGTCTGCAACACTCCCGGTGAAGATTTTGGCTTCGGCTCTGGCATTTCGTTCGTGTCTAACAACGGCATGGACAGCCAGGAGCTGTTGCAAACCCTGATGAACTCCCAGGAGCCTCTGGCCGGTGAGGACCTTGTCATGCCTTCGGCCATTTCCAGCAGCCAGGAGAGCTCCTCGTTCAGCCTGCACCTTGAGATAAAGTCGGAGCCTACGGTGGACACTACCACCACCCCGTGCGCCGCCATGGACACCCCGGACATTTTGAACGAGTTCAACCTCACCGGCCGTTTCAGCTTGGTCGACTTCATAACCAACGACGAAGTGACTAGCGTAAGTTTTTTTATTCTTTTGTAGAATTCGGCTTTTTTCTTATATTGCGATTTTCCTATCTGCATCCATGATTGCATCAGCATTTTCTTTCCATTCCTTTCGCGCGCCATCATGTTGCTAGGTCCGCTCTTTTTACTTCTCCTGCCGTCAGATGTCGCGTTTGCTCGGTAGTAGCCATTTTAAACGCAGTGCCGCCGCGACAAACGCTTGAACTAACCAACATGGCCGACACGATTGCGAGATAATGCCAAACATCGTGGCTCTTTGATATTAATTTTCCACTTTTTCGCATTTAATTTTCCTGGGTTCCTACTAGTTTAGTTGTTTTACAATTATGCCGCGTGTTAAATATACAGTGAGAAAAATCAGACTGCCGTACAGCCCCGGCACGGATGATTTCGATCCCGAAGCAGTGAGTATTGGTGTTCGTTGGCGATAACATAGCGTGGCCTTCCGCTTGATGCCGGAATAATAATGCACAATATTGTGTAATAATTTTGCTAAGCCCTTGTTACCTTACAGAACTCCAATGTAGTTTAGACCTGTATAATTATTTCTAGGGTTTAGCGCTGATAAAAGTCAGCCACTTGTAGGTAAAATAGAGTTTTATTGAAAATTGTCATGGTAACTTCGGATAGAGATTGATCATGCTGTTGCGTAATTGTGGATAATCAAGTGGGAATGTTGCCTTAGTGCCTAATTTTGTTGTAAGGTTTAAGCCCTGCATTTTAATGATTTAAATGAAGCTTTTCAATTGAAAGACATTTTTTCCATTTGTTGATTTTTGAACAAAACAGTGCTTCAAGGTCAATTGAATGGAGGCCCATTCACATAATGGGTGTGATTCTGAGTTTTTAAGCAGAAAGAAACAAAATTTGAAATTGATTTTATAATATAATTTTTTTTCTTTAATAAAATTTATATGTTTTCTAAATTTCTTCTTCTTGTTTACAGGAGGTTACTTTTGAGCCGTTGGATAGCACCGTTCAGCCTTATGCCAGCCAGGGTACTTCAACTGCCAAGTTCACCGAGCTGAAGCCGATGCCCTCACCACCGTCACCAGTGTTGCTAGTGAACGTTCCCAGCCCTGACAGCACCTCTCCAGCTTCAGTTCATAGCGCGACCTTCTCTGGCCCCCAACATGTGCTCCTTGACGGATCTGCCTCTCACTCATCCGACTACGAGGCGTCCGACTCGGACATCAGTTTCCAGAACATGAAGCGTCCGGCCGCATCGATAATGTCTGGGCCATCAACCAGCAAGAGGTCACGTGCAATGGATGATGACATGTCGTCCATCCCATCATCAGCTAACGAGCTGAAAATCTTAGAGCACCGCCAGCGCAACAACGCTGCGTCTCGCAAGTCAAGGCAGAACAAGAAGAGCAAAGACGAGGAGTATCAGCAGGTTCTGTATGACTTGGAGATGCGCAACCAGAGGCTTTCCGCTAAGGTTCGTAGTCTGGAGAACATCAGGGACCGTCTTCGAGTGGCTGCTCTGGCCAAGTGCAGGGGCAAATGAACTTCTAAGAAATTAGAGTAACAAATGGAATTTGTAAATCGAAAATATACAAATATGACGAATCCTCCACATTTGGAGTAAATCGTAAGAGATATGATGATGAATTCTCCTCACTTGGAGTAAATCATAAGCAATCAGCTTGCATGGCATTGCTGCAGATAATGTGCCGGAACATGACCAGAGTCGGGGACTTGTCCCATTTTCTGACCAATTTTGCAATTTTTTTTTAATCAGACATTATTTTTTAACTGTATGAAGTTTATTTTAAGTCTGTAATAGCAATAGGTGCTGTTTGATTACCATCAGTTGATGATTTTGAGCGAGCTGGTTTGAAAACTTGCAAATTCTGTCTTATTGATCTTTGCCATTTGTATATTCTGAATTCCCTCGAAGGGAGCTGAATCGTTCAATTGTGACCCATCTTCATTGTGCAAAATGATCGTTAAAGATCACGGTTTTGAAGTAATGGTTTTGTTTTTTGTAAAAATGTTGACACCAGATTGTAGCCTCTAAAATTCTTGCTGAGAATTTTCTATGCTAGGGTGTATCCCAAACCCTAGCTCATTTTGTGAAACAAAAATTGTATTACCTCGGATGAACTGCTGGAAAATTGTAACATTCAGCAATCATTGCTTTGTAAATTTTGGAAGTTTATAACATCAATAAAATTGTCTTGTTATTGGAATTACTTCGATTTTATTTCAACTTTTATTCCTTTCTATATAGGTTTTTTTATAATTGTTGATAAGTTGAGGAAACTTTAAATAATGAATGTCCAAATAATTTATAATTATGAGCAAATGATAAATGCTTTGTTTAAGTAACTAAGAGTTACTGAGTAAAAATATGTACACTAGTTTTCTTTTAACCTCTGGAGCATACATTGCGCTCCTTGCACCTCGCATACAACATCTTCGAGCCTAGACGCTCTTGAATTTGCACTGCTTCGCACATGCGGATTGAGTCTGCGAGACTCCTTGATCGAAAGAGTTCTGTTTTTGGGAAAAGTAGGTCGCACAGCTGATGTCTGAATTAGGTTCTTCATGTCCTGCAGCTCTTCGTACATTCGCATCATCATATCCTCGAGCGTGGCCTGTTGTTGCACTCCAAATAAGTCGCTTTGAGAGCCATCACAGCTTCCATCAAGCCAAACAAATCTGCTTTCTTTTCCAGTTGACATAATTTCCTCGTCGCATTTCAATTGGGAAATTGCTTTTTGTCGTACTGCCAGTTCCACGCACGCCTCTATTAATCGACGAGGTAACTTCTTAGGGTACCTATTTTTTACATTGGTTATAAATCATAATAATTATATAAAGTTTGATGATAAAATTAGTAGAAACCAACCTGGACTTTCGCTCAACTGCGCTGGGTTGGAGAACAAGCTCTGTAACCACCCTTCTACGCTGGACCAGAAACCTGACTAAGCATTTAGGCAGCATTTTGGTAAGTATTGAATGAGAGATAATCGTTTCTAAGTGGTCCACAAATTGTGCTTGCTTCAAGAGGCGCCTAAAATGCCCCTCAGTTTGCACGGCTTGAATGTCACTGACAGCAAGACCAACCATCAGATTCATCATGACAATCGTAGTAAGAATCACAAAAGTCAAAAATATTAATCTGCTGATTACGTCCAAGGGGTCCTTATGTAGAGCTTTGCCCGAAGATGACAATGAATGATTGTTGTCCATTTCAAACAGGTCCTGCGCAAAGCAAAAATTAAAAAAAAAAAATTAGTTTGATAAAAAAAATTACTTTATAGTCAAACTCTCCAGCCATCATTACTACAGTTTTGACAAATGCCTTGAATGGGCCATCAAAGGACTCTTGCTTGTTGAACTGGACGTAAAAGCTAAGAGTGTAGCCAAGCACAATAAACACAAATGTGAGCATCACTTTCATGACATTTCTAAGCACTGTGTAAAACATCAAGGCGTAGTTGCCCCACGTTGGAAATCTGCCTATCAACAACAGCAGCTCCGTCCAAGCAAGTAAAAGAACAACAGATGTCATATGTACTTGAAACTCTTTCAACTGCTCATTGCAAACCCTGGAAATTTTATATTGGGCGTTTATTGTTATAAATTATGTTTTAATAAAACTTCAACTATAAACTCACGCTACTATTATGGAAGCTCCTCCACAAAAAGCAAAGTTCCAAGTCTCGAACTCACGAATGTAGAACCAAGGTCTTAGAAAGAACTGAATGATTATGTGTAGGAGAAGCATGCACGACGTTGTTATAAGAATGTGTCGGGCATACGGAACAAGAAAACGCAGTTCCTCCTCACCCTCAGCAAGGACAAAAACGCTGAGGGATACCATATAACTTCCATACACAAAGAGAATGAAGAAGAAAAATATACGTAGCTTTTGCCACTTGAGCCACAAAAACGTTTCTAGAAGAGGGTGACGAAGTAGTATAGAGTGGCCAGGACCTTTTGGAGAGTTGAAAATTTCTCTCAAAATTGATGTTTGCCTATCACATCCATGGGGTGCCAAAATGCTGAAGTCCAAATATACCTAACAAATTTTTTTAGATTCTTGTTGGGGCCATTTACAAACATTTTACTTTAAATGCTCTATCAAGTACAGATACGTTGTTGGTTTGAAGGCAATTGTCCAGGATGGCTGCCAAGAAGTGGTACGGCCGGGCGATGTGCATAAAAGTAGCATCGAGGACTGAAGTACCACTGTGCGTCAAAAGACTCAAATGGCCACCTTTGCGCATCAGAATTTCTAGACAGCCTCTGTTTCCACTGAAGGCAGCTTTGTGCAGTGGAGTTTGACCAACGTGGTCCTGTTTGTTCACCAGACCCAAGCCTTCATTGATGTCTAGCAGAAACTGCAACACCTGTAACATAAAATCAATAAAATTCCACAAAATTCAACTTTTTATTTAGACCTGCAGAGCTCCCGAGTGAGCCGCTTCATGGATGGCTGTTGCTCCAGTGGCACTGATTTTGTCCACCATGGCTCCGTGTTCCACCAGAAGTTTGGTTGCACTCAGAGAGCATCTTGCAGCTGCGTGGTGCAGTGCAGACGTCCCAGTATCAGGGTTCAAAATGTTGACATCGGCACCAGCGTCTACCAGCATTCTCACAACCGCTTCGTATCTTAAAAAAACAATCAACATTTTAAATTAAAGCATTTACTTAAAAATAGTGAATAGCCGCAATAATGTTCACCTTATGAGACTATCAAGGTCATCTGGAGATACTCCTGCGCCAGCTAAGAGCAAGGGTGTGAGGCCCTTTTGGTCTTTGACGTCGACTATTGCTCCGGCAGCTAGGAGAATCTTAACACAGTCAGGACTAGCTGCTTTCACAGTCTGGTGGAGACCAGTCCGGCCTAAGCAATCGGGCACTGGCAACTGCAAATGAATAAGTAGCTGCAGTTAAAATTTTAACTATATGGTTAAAATATCACACCTCACTGCCTATTCCACTTCTTGGATACTTAACACCTAGTATGTCGTTTTGGTCATTTTTGTTTTGAGGAACAAGACGCTTCTTCTCTGTGGAAACATGGTTGCTTCTCATGTGCCACTTTTTATTTTCTCCGTGGTTGTGCCTCACAGCAGTGTTCGGAGTCCACATTTGCATAGGCAGCATGATCTATTGGAAAATTTTATATTACCAAAATATGCATTGGTGTTCTTACCTTTTGATTGACATCAGATCCGGCGTCAATAAGAGCTTTGATGCACTCTGGGCTTGAAGCTGCAGTGCAAGCCAGGTGGAAAGCTGACCTTCCTGCAAATGATAATAAATTTTTAAAATATTAACTATATTTATTCTTTCTTGCCAACTGTGTCCAAAGCAGTAGCATTGGCTCCATTTTTTATCAAAGTGGATACAAGATGCGGCTGGTGATACGCAGCTAGGTGCAGCAAGGTCACTCTCAGTGGTCCAAACACCAACTTCACATCACTAGGGCTTGTAGCAAGCAATTTCTTGAGAGTTTCAAGTTTGCCATACAATACAGCCTCCAAAACTGGCCTTAACTACAAATAATATTGATGAAAAATATTTAGGTATCTTAAGACAAATAAATACCTTAGGTTCCGTTTCTTCACTATCTGGTTGGTCAATTGTGACCAAAACTGTTGGATTTTGACTTTCGCTAGAAACGTCTCCCAACTCTATGACAAATGCTGTCCTCTTTTTAGGAGCTGGAGGAACGTTTTTCTTTTTGTCACTCATATTTGGAAACTATCATTTTTGAGATTTATAGTGTCAGTTGTACAAATAAGAGAGGATGTGGTTTTCCTGCACCTTTCAGTATGTTTGCTACAGCCATGTTTATATCGGTTTATGTGATGTAAAAAATGACCACAGCTGAAAGATAATTAAAGGACAATGTATGCAAAGAACATTTTCTTACGATTGCGGTATAAAATTACAATTTATTGGAGCCAGGCATAGCTTCAGCTATTTCAACATACATTCTACAGGAATCAACGACAGATAATTTAATATTTTTTTCTGGTATCTTTGTAATCCTAAAATTTGGCTAAGGGACTTTTTTTGTATTATAAGATTCATAAAGAGTATGATTTTGCTCACACAATACTTACATGCTATTCAAAGTAAAAAATTTAATGCATATAATTATACTCTAAAAAGCATAGAGAATTTTAGAATTTCCAGATTCAACCATTCGTATCTGATAAAGCAAGGCCACGGGCTTTTGCTTGCCATAACAAAAATGCACATTTCAAATATTGCAAATATTAGTATAAAACTATGTCATGCATATAAATATAAGTACTATTTGAAAGGTTTACATCAATTGAAAATAGAGTGCTAAACAATACTATGAACTGAAAAGGCACATATTTTGATATTGTTAGAAATGCAGTGAAAAATAAAATTTAAGAAGATAATTTCTGACAAGAGAGCTGTAAGTTTTAATTCCAAGCACCTTTTAAGCCAAAATGAAATTGGTGCCGTTATTCCATGCTATTTGCAAATAATTTAAATTAATCTTTTATACTTGATTGGCACATTAAATACCAATATCCTCCTTTGTAACAAAATATTTGATAGTTTAGTTATTGCATTACAATACAATTTTTCATGGAATATTTTTTTTATTAATCTCAGGAGATTCATCCTGTGCGAGATCTCACAGAATAGGAAATTGGAGTTTAAGACCATCATCAATGCTCGACCAATGAACAGACTTTGGCATTGGTTCTCAAGGGTCTCCGGTAGATAAATTTGGTAGTAGTATTTAAAGGAGCGTAATTTTGAAAGTTAATATTTTGAATTGGTTTAGTTTGACTGGCCTTGAGTCTGCTGCATCTGAGCTTGCATTTTTGCCAACATTTCTTGCATGCGACGTAGCTCAGCTTCCTTTTCTTGAAGGATGCGGTCCTTTTCGCCTGTCACGGATGGAGTTGCTCCGCCATCAACTCTGCAATATTCAATAGGAATGTAAGCCTTCTGAAAAAATACATGACTTTTTCTCACGTTTTCTTGGGAGCACCCTTAGCAAGTCTCTCCGATCTGTAGTTTTCATAGTGAACCTCCTGGGTCACTTCCTGCAAGTCCTGCATGTGTGTACTGTAACAATAACACATAATTTTATTTTTGAAGTTATTTTTACTTTGAAATACTGACATCAACATAGTGCGGAGTTTGATAAAATCGCAATGCTCTGGATTTTCAACTTCGATGACACCCCAGGGATATTGACGACCTCTCACTTTCCTCCCTTTGACTTCTAGGAGGGTGTTTGCACCACAAACAGCAAACGGCACTGCCTCTTTAAGCTGACGAACCTGTTAAACACGCCAGATAAAAAAAGTTTAGTAATGTGAAATAGAGAAAAAATAGAATGAAAATTCTAGGTGAATAATTTTCAGAAGAATCAGAAAAATAAAATACTGATTTAGATTTTAAATAAGTTTTCAAACCTGTTCTTTGTAGTCATCATCTTCATCACTGTCACAATCGGGCAAAGGGTAGATTTTGATGCCATTTGCTTCAATTTCTTCCATGATCTTAAAGTAAAATGGATTTAAGATAATATTAAATGATGGTTAACTCCCTTTTACCTTTTTCTTCAAGCGCAAAACTTCCTTCTTTGTTAAACAATCAGCCTTTGCAATGACGGGTACAATGTTAACCTTGTTGTGCAGCTGCTTCATGAATTCTACGTCTAAAGGCTTCAAGCTGAAAAATTTAAGCTACGATATTTTGGGGGAATACTTGTTTTTCTATCAAACCTGTGGCCAAAAGGAGAGATGAAATAGAAGCAGCAATGAATTCTGTTATCAACTATGTTCCGGCGGTTCAGACCACTCTCGTCTCTCAAGTAGCGTTCAAACTGGTCGTCGATGTACTGAATTATTGCCCGGAAGCTGAAAAAAAACATGAATTTACCGATTTTAGACCATTCCAATCACTTTTTTTATTGCTAACCTGTCACTACTGTCTATAGCATCTCCGTACCCCGGGGTGTCAACAACAGTGAGACGCAACTTGACGCCGCGCTCTTCAATCTCGACAGTTGAAGCGTCCAATTTGACAGTTTGCTTGGCTTTTTCTACATAAAAAAATTAACTTATCTATTGTTATCAATAAAATTACTACTCTTAAGTCGTTACCAATAGCATCAGGAATTATTCTTTCCGAATAAAGGTCAGTCAGGAACAAGCTATCAACCAAGGTTGATTTTCCCAAGCCAGATTCACCTAAGGCCGCATTTCAAGTGTATAATAAAGACAGGTAAATTATGTATTTTGCTACTCACCAACAACCATGAGAGTGAACTCGAAGCCTTTCTTCACAGACTTTCTGTGAACTTGGTTTGGCAGATTTGCAAAGCCAACATAGCCTGGCGTTTCCAAACTCGAAAACTGCAAATGACGATGCTTTAATATAGTCTGTGGGTCAATAATTGGTAATAGAATTATCGTAAAAACAAGAAAATGTGTGTTCAATCAGTGTTGATTTTTCCTCGGAATTTATAGCAATTTTAAGTATGAAGTAAACCATTGCTTACCGTTTTTACTGATTCGCTCGACATATTATCGGATCTTCTTGTTTGGCAGCAACCGAGCATGCAGTAAATACGTGGCTAAACGCCGTCAACCTTAATTAAAAAAGAGCTGTTCAGCAAAATCAAAAGGACCGGTGTGCAATCAACACAGATGTTTGTTATTAATACCGCCGGAAGTGCAACAACTATGGTGCTCTATTGTTTGTAAGAGCAACGCTCATTGGTCTTTATACGGGGTGCGGCCTCCGCCTGGCCAATCAGAGACGTTCTTCTTCAATTTTCAATTATTCAACTAAATGGCGCGAAAGAGGGATATGAATTTAAAACTTTCCTAAAAAGCTCATTATATTTTACATTATGAACACCACGCATTTCAAACATTTGAGATATATAAAATATATTTAAAGCATATTGATTCATGCTGATTAATTTCATGGTTTAAGAAATATAGAGAACAACCGTTCGTTTCCTTTTCTTATTAAGGAGTGTTCATGTGTAATACAGGAAACGACAAATTAATATTCCATACCATAATGAACCACACTCCCTATTATGGATCAAACAATCAGAACTCACCTCTTGTAGCCATAGAAACAAAATAAAGCTAGAATAATTGAATGGACGTAAAATGGAACCAACAGAAGATGTTCCACAAATTCAAAGTGCAACATTGGAGGATTTTCCTACAAGGGCAGTTTCAGAATATTTTAATTCCACTTTCTGTGGAATCTTCAAGAGGTATACTTTTTTCGAGAAATGAAAATTTTAAATGATTTATTTAAATTGGTATAGCTCGGCACCTCATCCCAAATGGAATATTGTACCAAAATCTTCTCAGCAAAATTTGATCGACACATTAATATCAGATGACAAGAATAAATCAGAAATCAGGGAAAAGGAAAATGAATATCAAGGAAAAGTAGCGCTATTGGATAAGCAGTGGGCCGATGTGGGAGAGTTAGAAAGTCATCTTAAAGAGGCTTTTCTTGAAACTGAAGAAAAAATTGAAGTACAAAATAATAGTAATAAAAAAATGTATATTTAAGGATAAATATAATAAAACATTAGGACCTTCGAAAATGTGAATTGGCAAATGGAAAATCAGCAGCGTGTGATGTCAATGATCTTTTAAAGGAAATCGTCTGCTTAAAAAAACGTGAAGAATATTACGTGGAGGATACCAAAAAAATTACAGATGCAATACAAAATATGGATGAGGACATTGATGCCCAATCTCACTTTATGGTAATGTGCCCTAAAAATTGTGACAAAAATTAATATCTTGATTAAAATACTTTATAAGGATTTTGCAGAAAAAGTAGCTGCGGAGCAGACTTCAGTGTATTCCTCAGGGGCATTATCTGTTTTACAGCATTACGAGCGCTTAAAGAGTGCTCACAGAGATGTAACAGTAGAGCAGGTATTTTTTTTTTTAATCATGATTTAAAAAAACGTGAGTACAAAATCTATCTTAAAATAGGAAAATACCTTAATGAGGCTAGGAGAATTAGGGCAGGAAATGAAAAAATTTAATTCTTCAAGCTCGGAAAGCTTAGACGCTTTGGAGACAACAATACAGGAAGTGCAAACTCAAGTTGCAAACCAGACTATAGAAAACAAAGGTAATTTAAAAAAAAAAATCAATTAAAAATTGACAAATAAAATTTTTAGAACAAGAAAAACTTATTACAACTCAGCGAGGGAAACAGAGGATAAAATTTGGGGAAGTGAAAATTATGGAGGACGCCATTAGGTGCATGTTTGAGGCAAGCTGGAAAAGATATCATGAACCTATGAGCGAGGCACCAATAAAAAATATCAAACAACAATCGGAATACATACAGCTGACAATGGCATCACTGGAAAATTTGATTTGCTATTTGAAAAAAGCCAACCCAAAATCTCGTGAATCGGTTAGTCCGCAACTTTCAGAAAGTGAAACAAATCCAAAGAACACAAAATAATCACAAAATGGTACATTGATTTGGAATCATGATTAACAAACTTGCAAAGATTGCTTGTATAGTTTTCTATATTTTACATGATTATACAGCTTATAGTGCTTTTGGCTTCAATAAAAGTGAAAAAAAAAAACTAAAATTTAACACTTAAATCATAAATAAACATCAAAATATCAGTTTAGAATTCTGTAAAGCTCGAGACTTCCTTTGTTACTTGAATAAAATCAAAGTATTAATATATCATTGATAACAAACTATATGTTTGCCTGGATTTGCACTGACTAAAAATAATGCTTGCGCATTCCATGAGTTGATATTTAATATTTAACAATGCAATTAAAGCTGCAAGTATTGGACCTTAATAAAAAAGCCAAAATTTATCCAAAAAAGCCACAATTCTCAGAATAAAAGAAATACACGATAAGAAGCGTTGGTTGTCAGTCATGAGGATTAAGAACACATGATCCCTTTGTAATTGAAACATCAGAGTTCACCAAAGCTGACGTGTCCTGTGTCTTTGGCATGCTGTTGAGCAGCCACTTGACCTTTCAACACAACTTGACATTGCAGGCATTTGATGGTGAATTCTTGAACGTCGGTGAACTGTCGGCTGGACCTGCTTTCCTGAGCCAATTCAAGCGCTTGCTCCAAGATTTGCTCATCAGTCGTAGGGAACAGAGTTTTCAACGCACTTCCCTATAAAGTGGAATGATATTGTTATTAAAATTTTGAACATAAAATAAATATCAAATTTTTACATCAAAAGGCTCCAGGTAAAGTGGATCGTAATGAATGCCATCATAGATTAGAAATGCTCGCATTCCGTATTTTTGATCTTCGCCGAATCTGTTGACGATTCCGTGCAACGAGTTGACCACCACTATCTCAAAACCGTAAAAGCTGGACAGGATGGACAGTTCAATTGCACCACCCCACGCTTCAGACTTTTTAATCCATGAGCAATATTCACTAGGCGTCTTTCCCAAAAACGCCTCATTGTAGTTTTCAGGGTCATTGCGAACCTTCTCAGCAATTATGTCCCTCATGAAGTGAGAGGTCCCAGTCTCAACTTTCCCTGAGATTCAAACAATATAATGCAGTGAAAAACTTGGTTTAATTACTTGAATTATACATACCATTCAGAACATAGTTAATGCTGGTAAAAAGGCAGGAGTTGTCTGATGGTACAACCTGTCTCATGAGCATTCCTCCAGTTGCCTGGGCTGCACTGTACGAACTAATTAAATCTGATGATTGTGGAGTTGGTGCTGGATGTGTATGTTCCTCCCTATGATCTGCCACTGCTTCAGTCATTACAGGCGAGGCTGGCCTTTCCTGAGCCATGATCACATCTCCAGACTTGATGCCCGCGTCCACCAATGACTTGTTTTTGTCTCCGAGCTCCAGTATCTTTGGAGGGAAGCCTGCCAGTAACTTAAGACGGGACTCGGCAATGCCTGTGAAAATTAAAAATTGCCAGAGTGATTTTGCAAATTTAAATGAAATATTAAATACATTAAATTTTGTAAAAGTCTAAATGAAGATATTAAAATAATAAATTCTTATCTTTACCTGAAAAACAAGAAACTTTCTCAGTCAAGTCGCTGAGGCTGCTACTCGAAGTTAAGTCTTTTATGACGCTTTGCTCACTCCCCGCCTTGATTTTTAGCGTCAAGACAGAGGCCATGGTTTGCTGAATTCAATACTCAACCTTTTTAACCGAAAAGTCTACAAAAAAGACCTGTAATCTTGAAGCTTTTGTGGAATTATAGATTGAAATAAAATGCACAAAATCATCACAACAACAGAATACAGATGATTCATATAGCGATGACCAATCATATCTGTTTGTTTCTCATTCGTCCCCTCCACAATAATTTAAAATCCTTGGCGCCAGCTTCCCGCACCCGCAAGCTCAAAAATAGCATACATAGAGATTTTATGGATTTTATTAACTCCAATTCTATAAATATAACACCATTTTCATCGCATAGTATGATAAAAATTAGAAAACTTTTCAAGTTTGGGCTTATCATACAAATTATTTTCAACTGAATGTAATTTCTGATTAATTTCTTTTCAAGTTTTTTTGTTATGAGAAATGAGAACTAACATAATTATGCTATTTAGCAGCTGAATTTTTTTCATTAATAAAGAATTTTTTTCCAAAATATACCATTTTTTGTATTTGATTTCCACATTTCCAGAGATTCAATTTTATTTAATAATACAAATTGTCTCAAAATATTCACTATAGATTTTGAAGCAGCGCAGAAATAAAATTTATCTGCACATAAAACAACAAAATAATTTCTATTGTAGATTCACATAAAATATTGATATAAGTTTTGGGATCTGTACTTATTTAAGTACACCACATTAACATGACTGAAGCAAGACGGAACCAGATTTAAAAAAAATGCAAAATTTCTTAATACTTTCAATATCTTAACAGCATAATAAAATAAAATATTTTTATGAGTGTAAAACAAGATTTAAAAGAGCATTTCAATATCTAGAGCACTGCGCGGCATTATGAAGTCCCACGTATCCCTCCACCTCAACCGCAAAAGTTCCTCAATTTTGAAGGCGCTGTTTCCATATGAAAGTGGTGCGAAAGCCACAAAAACATAAAAAATTGCACCTAGCCAAGTAAAAAATGCAATCTGTACGGGCCAGTAAACAAATCCATTCCAACGACAAGTTCTGGAAAATCATAGGAAATTTAAAAATAGATCCTGTAATTATTATAAATCAAAATATACAAATACCTTGCTACATAAAAAATATGCTCCGTCAAAGCTGCGAGGAGGATTATTTTGAAAAGCAGCGCTGGCATGTAGTGGTGCAGGAACAAAGTTCTTTCCATGCAAAAATAGGGAAGCATATTTACGCAATAGCCGCAAAATGCAATCTCCATCATGAGATACAAACGGGACCACTCATCTGTTGAGTAAAATTTTTATTAGCAAACAACTTTTTTTCCTAAAGGAAAATCTCACCATTGCATACATCATAAACTTTTCTTTTCATTCTACAAAGGTACCAAACAAACACGACCAAGTATATTATAAGAGCTGCAGTTCCGGAGTACCAAATTGCTATGTTCCCTATTAAATGAACTTGAGCCTAGAAGAAAATCACGATTGTAAGAGGTGATTTCAAAAATTGATCCAACCCTTACATTAGAAGTTGTGTTGACCCAGTAAGCGATTCCTTTGGTCATCAAAGGCCACTCAATCGGTTGACTGGAGTACATGTGGTCTTGCAGGGTGTCACTAGAGGCAAAGAATATTTTCATGTGCAGCTCTAAAATCTTGTCCCAAAAAGACAGAGTTGTTGGCCGGGTCGGAATCATTTCCGCGTGCACCAATTCCCTCTCCCTTTCCTTTTGATCATCACCTTGAAATAAAAAGAAAAAAAAATATATATAATAATAATAATAAAAAATTCTATAAAAAATTCAAAAATTTACTTGTTGTATATCTATGCTCCTCCACATTCCAAACTGTATCATCTTGCTGAACTACCCTGTCTGTGACCACTTCATGTTGATTATAGCCCCAGTCAGGGAGTTGCTTCCCACTGAATTTGAGCGCTTGAGAGGAATTTACATGAACGAGACGCACCTTTAAGCATATTCATTTATAAAATATTTGTTAAATCCAAGTCAAATTAAATTACCATGCTTTCAATTGTGTGCCAAGTGTCGCCGACCTGATCTTTGTTGCTAATATCAACTCTCCAGAGATTCTGAGCAGGCATTGAAATGTTGTAATCGATGTAACAAGTAACTTCCTTTGTAAAAGAAAAATTGTTCATATAGATTTAAGTAAGCTTGGTGAAATTTTCCAATTACTTGATTTTGAGGAGACATTGGTGCTGCCACGTCGTGAGAATTTAAGGCCCGGCTTGTGATTCCGTGCACAAGTTGAATAATGTCTCCGTCTTTGATGGCATCGATTGGCCTCGAGACGGCCAAGTCTGATCGAGTCGGTCGTTTTACAATCCACCAGTTGTTCACGTCTTTGAAGCTGTAACAAGTGACCTAGAATATAACAGCAGGATGAGATACTATTAGAAATGAATTTTGTTGCACTATACTTGCTGTTGATGGCTTGAGCCTCTTTTGTCGGGGTAACGAACTGGGTAAACAGCAGGATGCGAATGCAGCCAGCAAGTTCTACCGAGTGAGTGCCGAAGTGTGATTTGTGAACCGTGAGCAACTTGCAAAGGTTGCCCTTTTGTTATGGATGCAAGACCACCCTTAAAATTTAAAAATTTTATGGTATTAAGAAGTTTAGCGGAGTGATTTCTGTTAAGCTTTTAGTACATCTATTACAGTTATGTCAGTTAATAGCAAAATTACAATTTTCTTGGTCTTACCTCTAAGCTAGCTTGAAAGGCAGACGTCATTACACTATCATGAGGGCCAGCCTTGTTGAGAATTGACAGGTGAACATAAAAGAGACTCAAGTAGAGAGCAACAGGGACGACAAAAAGAATAATCGCCCTGACAAAAGCTTGGCACACAAGTGAGTAAATGTTGAGATTCTTGTTTGCAACTAGTCTCCAGAAGTCTCTCCAAACAATGTATATTCCAAGGGCCATCGAACAAGCTCCGACAAATTTGATGCTGAAATTTTGTTTGAGTGATGAGGTATTAAAATGTAATTAAGTTTTTACCAGACAGCAGCTGAAAGGAAAAATGTTCCAATAATGAGCCATGAGAACCATGCAAATGAGTATGGTGAATCTTGGTAGTGGACAAACTTCTGGATGCAGTAGAGGCCGAGGACACTGAAGAGCAGCAACATCGGCTCCATTAATATGAACCGAGACTGTGTCAGCAAAGCGTTGTCTAATACATTTTTATTAAAAATTTATTTATGAAAAAAAGATCTATTATTACCAAATAAGATAAGAAAGGCTGCAGTAGCGGCTGTTAATTGTTTGAGGCCAAGTTGCAAAAGCAGGTGGTAGACACTTAAAGGTAGCAGGGCCCCACAAAGAGCAGGTATGAACCGCACAGCAAAAAGTGGAAAAGATTCAGAATAGGCAACGCCAATTGCAGTAAACTTGAAGTCTCCTATACATGGACAGAATAATTAATTATTGTTAGCATGGTTACCTTAAATAATCTAACCTGTGTATCCTCCTAAGTAAGCAGCCAGGGCTATTAATTGTTTGCCTAGGGGTGGCTGCGAGTCAAAGAAAAATGTTCGTTTCATATACAGGCTGACGTACTTTCCATAATGCAGTTCGTCAAAACTGGTGTCGAGGTAAAATTATTTGTTATTGAAAATCTTTAAATTTAAGAATATGTACATACACAACACTGTGTGGCTGGGTAAGATTGTAAAATCTTGTGGCTATTCCCAGGATCAGACAGATGATAGAAACAAAATCAAAACTGATGTTGATTTGGCACCGGAACACTGCTGGCTGGAGTGTCACATTATGGGGCTGCAGAATTGGCGATCTTTGTGATCTTTTAGTCTTTGCTTCTCTCTCAACTTCTTGACTATCTTCTTTCGTTTTATCTTCGTTTTTCTGCCGGAAGAAAATACATAAGTTCCTTGATTAGTAAGCAAGTTTATTAAAATCATGTTTACTTTGTTATTCTGCAGCTCTTTTTCATCCTTTTTGGGCTTTTTCGCTTTACGGTTTCGGAGTTGAGCATCTTCTTCTGATACTTGCAGCATTCCCATTTTATCAGATAACTATCCTAAGAACCTACGGAACAAATTTTATAAAATATTAATCACATACATACATCGAGAAATTATTTACTGTGCTTTAAGAATTAAATCAACCTCACAAAGATAATTCATTAGAGTTTAATTCATAATTATGGATTTTTCGTCGCTTGAAATTTCAAATTTAGGCAAACACTGCAAACAAAACCTGAATTGTAATGAACTAAAAATTGACGCAGCGTTGCATGAGAAGTGGGAGTAACCAGTTTTATAACGGGACTCAAAGCCAAAGACAGAAATTCCTCAAATGGAGAATGGAGAAGATCATTTTTACACGATTACCATCTCGCTTTAATTAATCCGTGCTGCAAACGTCCTTGCGCTCCAAAAACAATTTCTTCCTTTCGTCGGCGCTTCCGATTTCCAGATCCAGAGTGGCAAGACAGTCAAAGAAGAGGTGATTGACCCGACAAAGATGAAATTTAGCGGCTTGAGGAATTGGAAACAAGTTTTCTGTTTTGATCGGTCGCTCCGACGGCGGCTACAGCGCATGTCTTGTCTGGACCTGCCCGAGCCCGTCTCGTGCAAGGTCTCGTGTGGCCGATTGCGACTTGCGACCAATGAGAGAGGCGGGAGTCATCGTGAACCAATGACGTAACATCTGGCGCTGCTATCCTCACACAAAATTTCATTTCATTATGTGCATACGCATACACCAAAAGATCCTTGGCATACACTGTACACTGCTGCTACGCTGCTAGTGCTACACTAAACTTGGTAAGCAGCAGTGATACTGTGTTTTTTCTTTCAATTTCTCCGCTCGCTGCCGACGCTGCCGGAAGAAACGAAGCTGAAAATCTCTATGTTAGTATTTTATCAACATCTTGGCATAAATTGTCATGCTCTTATTATGCCCTGCAGTTATTTTCATCGTTTTATTTTATTAACCGTATTATTTTCAGAGATATTGTGCCATGCGGCGTAACTTGTCATTATTCTGGTACTTCCCCAATTTTAAAACCGGTCCAATGTCCAATTCCGAAGATTTTATTTTATTATTTTGGATATTTAGACACTTATTGAGTTAACATCTGCAGTTAAGTTGGGTTTTTATGGAGCTGCAGTATTTTTTATGTACATATGTATTTAAATAATTATTAATTACTGGTGCTATGATATTTCACTACTGTGCTGAACGAATTTTGTTATTGTTGCTAGACAATGTTTTCATAATTTATTCCTTCGCCAAATGCATTTTTTTATTAGAAATGGCTGAAGTGATGGAGGAGAAGAATGTGTATGTATTATCACAAATCATAACACATATATAATATAGCAGAAAGATTTATATATCTGCTTAATCAGGAAAATTTTCATAAAAAAATTGACTGCTGTGATGAACCCACACTGCATAAATTGCAAAAAAAAATTAAATAAAAATGTCACAGACAAACCTTGATAAAAAAAAGCGCGGGTCGGGTCGGGGTGCCAATTTTCATCACCTCATTCTCGCTCCTCACAATCAGCACTCGGCCTATGATAATGCAGACTCCTTCCTGATTTTATTTCTGTCTAGAGTGTTTTTCTAATGAATCATACCAATACAAATTTAATTGGCTGTTTTAAAATAATGTGCCCAACTCATGAGAATTAATTTTCCCCACATAAATTTTTTTTAAGAACTGAATTTAAAAGGTTATAAGGTATGAATTATTAATATTAAGTGGGAGGAAACTGCATAAATAACTTTGCTAAAATTTAAACCCATAAGTATGCAATTAATTAGAATCATGATTTAATTTTTTTTAAAGCTGATGCTGATCGTTTCATATTTACTACAAGGCCTATCCAAAGACTGGAAAATAACATTTGTGCCATAAATTTGAAAACGAAGTCATGATGGAGGTGGATTCTGAACCTGATGGGGTGAGAAATATTGATAATATTGGCTTATAGACATTTAAATATGTTTCTCCTTTTTCCTTTAAGAATCTCTCCCAGCAGCTGGAGGAGTTAATTCCAAGAGATTATCAGGTATAAAAATTTGAAGTTTTTAAACTTCTAACTGTCAAAACTTAAAATCATATTCATATTTCAGAATGAAATGCTCAATGCTGTGATCAAAGGGAATTCTATTATTTATTTGCCAACTGGAGCTGGAAAGACTTTCATTGCCTTTATGGCCATGAAGCATTTTTACAGCGAGATTGAAAAGTGATTTTTTTATGCACATAATTATATTCAAAACATAACCATTGCGTTATTATAGGCCCTTTGCTGATGGAGGCAAAAGGATCGTATTTGCGGCTCCTAAAGTTGCCTTGGTGACTCAGCAGTGCACCGTGCTCCAGAGGCAGACCCAGTTCTCAGTTGGTATGTTTAATGGCAACATGAATGTAGACAACTGGACTAGGGACATGTGGGAGCAACAAATTGAAGTGCACCAGGTTAATTTATATATAATATATATATATATATATATATATATATATATATATATATATATATATATATATATATATATATATATATATATATATATATATATATATATATATATATATATATATATATATATATATATATATATATTAAATTAAAAATTGATTATTTTTTCTTTAAAATTTCTAATTATTCATTTTTATTGAACCTTTTGTTTCATTTGTTAGAGCAAATGAATTTAATCTGTCAAATTTTTGCAGGTCTTGGTTATGGGAAGTCAGATTCTCTTAGATATCCTGGATAAAGGCTTCTTAAAAATGACTGACATTTGTCTTCTAGTCTTGGATGAATGTCACCACGCTACTGAGAAGCACAACATGAACTTGGTTATTCCATTAAATTTTATTTAATTTGCAACTTAATGGGTTGTGTTTTAGATTTTTGCAAACCACTTCCGCAAAGAAAATCCTTGCATGCCTCGGATTTTAGGATTGACTGCAACGCTGGTTAAGAAAAATGTGCCACTGCACAAACTGCAGCAGATGATGGGTGATCTTGAAAACAATTTGTGCAGCAGAATTGTTAAGCACTTTAACTATGAAGATTTGAAAGGGTGAATTTAAAAAAAAAAAAAAGTTTGAATTTATTTATTTTGCACATTTTTAGGCTCTATGCAAACCCTAAAATCCAGCCCCATGTAGTGCAAAGTCTCAAAGCTGAAAATGATGTTAATTTGTCCACATTATTGGGAGCTTTGAAGGATACTCCATTTCTGAAAGCATCTACAAGAGGTGGAAGAGGGCAAAAGTAATATATGTATATAAATCTAATTTTAAAATTTTTTTAACGCAGGAAAATTTTTCAGCTCTCTGCTGCTCCAGTTCAGTAGTTTAGGAAAGCTTGTCACTAAGAAAAATCCTGTACTTGCTGATTGTGAGAAAACAATTCTTGATATTGAACACCATCTCACCGATTTAGGTAATATCTAAGAGAGAAATATTTAATGGTGTGGTAGACATTATTATATTTATGTATACAGGGCTATTTGGGGGAAAGTTGGCCATTCTGCATCACATAATCAGGTTGAAAGTGCTGAAGCTCTCTTTGTCGACTAACTCGCAAGAGATCATAATTTTGGACCAAATGCTTGACCACCTGAAGGAAGTCGTGTAAATATTAATGGAATTTTAATAAAAAAAAAAAACATTAATTTTTCTCGGATCTTCTTAGAGATAAAGCTGATGAAGTGATGAATCAAGCGGCCAAAGGAAATTACTTACACTTGTTCTATTTCTCGGCGCCAAAAGTTCATGGCATGTTTAAAATTTTGAGGGATGCTCTGAAAAGCAATAGCAAAGATGGAGAATCCACCCTGTGTGGTATCGTCTTTGTTGAACGCAGGGTTACTGCTGTGGTTCTTTATCACATGTTAAAGGTAAAGGTAAATATTTTATCTACTTTTTTAAAACCAAATCTTCATTTACAACTTTTAATTTTATTTTATGAAATTACATTTTCCAATACAGATTTCCATGGAGTTGGACCACTCTCTCGATGCTCTGAAGCCAGACATTGCCCTAGGGGGAAGTGGAAATCAAAGCTTTGGAACAATGGAGTATTCGCTGAAAAACGCAAAGATGAAACGCAGCATTGATAGATTCAATGCTGGTTACACAAACTTGGTGTTTTCTACTGATGTGCTGGAAGAAGGCATTGATGTTCCAAGATGCAACATTGTTGTGAGGTTTGACCCAATCAAAACCATGTGTTCCTTCATCCAGTCCAAGGGCAGAGCTCGAGATCTGGACGCCACTTTCTATGTCCTTGATGTAGATGGGGAATTTCAGAAAAGGGTGCAAACCTACTTTGAAATGGAAAAGTCACTGAAACAAGTAATTAGCCTGTCACTTTTGATGTTTTATACAGTAAATTGAAAATATTTTGCATATAGGTTCACTCTAAAAACGAAAACCCTGGCCATGATCTAAATGGAGAGAAAAAGATTTATCCTCTTGTAACATCTGCAGGCTCTTTGGCTACCGTGGACAATTCAATCAAATTGATTTACAGGTTAAAATTGTTGCAATTTGCAGAGAGTATAAACATTAATTTATCTAAACTATAATATTTTTCAGATATTGCAACTCTCTTAGTGTTGGCAGATTTGCTCGTGCGGAACCTAACTGGTATTACACAGAAAAAAGTGATGAAGGTCCTTTCACCTTTTCTGTAGTTCTTCCTGCCTCTTCTCCCTACAAGAAACCCATTAAAGTAACTAATTTTCTTGCATGTAAAAATTTAATCAATGTCTTTTGATGTAAACAGGGATTTGAAATGTCTTCGATGAAGGAGGCTAAGAGTGTTTGCGCGTTGGAAGCTGTTAAAGCACTGTACAAGTTTGGAGAGCTTGACAGTTACTTACAGCCTAAGGCAAAGTCTGAGCAGAACAATGAGATGAACAACCCAGACCTTTTCAAGCACTGGAGAAAATTCGAGGAAGGTGACGAAGGCTTAAAAAATGCAGGCACTAGGGGCAGAAGACGGATGCATCCAATGATCGTAAAACGGATTATTTTTAATATGTCTTGATTATTTTTTATTATTTTTTGGTATAGTTTCCTGAAGTTTTGAAAAACATTGGTCCAGTGCCAAACTTGGACACTTTTGTTCATATGGTGAAACTAAGGCCAAAGTATGATCGACCCTCTGGTTCGCGTAGAACCTTTCTTTACGATTTGATGGAAAGCTGTGAACAAGGTTTTGCCCTGCTTACTTCAAAGCCATGGCCGCAGGCAATTAAATTTTTATTATATTTTAGTGCAAATATTTTATATCAATAAAATAAATTTTTGCAGTTGTGCCAATTTCCTATTTATACCAATTTTGGTGAGATGGAAGTTGAAGTATTAGCAAATGCTTCTTGTGTGCAACTTGTTGCTGAAGAAATTGCTCTTATTCAACACTTCCATAGAACAGTATTTGAAATTGTTCTAGAAATCAGTCACAAGTTTTTGGTGACCGATTTTCATTCAGAAACAAATAGCATTTTACTGGCTCCTGTGCTTGGAACTGGTACTTTCTTTGAATTTGAATATTTTAATAGCATTTATTATCACCTTTTTTTTATATAGAAGCTCAGTTTGACTGGCCCTTGCTGCTCTCTTGCAAGGATAATTTGGAGGGGTTAAGTGAAAAATTGAAAGGATTTGACAAAGGCTTGCTTGGAAAAGTTGTGAATCCTTTACACAGAAAAGGCCCCATCGACAAAGCCAACTGGGTAAGATAAATAATTAAAAATATTAATTTTATTGAACCTGTCCAAATTATGAAAAAGAACTACATTGTCACCAAAGTAAGAGATGACCTTAATCCAGGCTCGAAATTCCCTGATGATAAGCACAAGGATTTTGCCTCCTTCTTCAAACATGTCTATGGTGCTGCAGTGACCAACATGTCGCAACCGATGTTGGAGGTTCGGCCAATTTCTCACAAATTGAACTTGCTCACTCATGGGTAGTTATTTAATTATCATGTTCTCTAAAGCTTGTGACCATAATATTTGTTTAATAAAGGAAAGACAATTCAACTTCAAAGAGGACACCTGGAGATGGTGAGATTTTCATCCCAGAGCTATGCAGCAGCCCTGGTGTGAACAGGGTGATTAGTTCAGAGCTGTGGCTCAAAGCTACAACAATACCTTCTGTTTTGGAAAGAATCCGATGGCTCTTGAGTGCTGACGAGCTTCGATCAAAAATCAATCATGGAACTGGACTTGGAAAAACTAGTATTCCATATGGTGCACAATTTATTATTCCTAAGATATGTTTGAACTTTAAATTTTTTGTGCAGGAGTGTTGTGGGAAACTTTTGAAGTAGCTACTTTCACTGACAAGTACACACGCCTCTACAGCAATCATGAAGATGTCAAACGTATCAAGTTTTCTGACAGTGCATCAAAGAGGAAGGTATTTTTATTTCAATTAACCTGTATATATGGTAATTTTAAAGAGCTCTCTTAAGAATTTGCAATTGGAAGAACTTGAGAATGAGCCTACCGATTTGGATTACAATCTCTTAACTGTGACTGACGAGGATATCAAGAGCTATGCTGCTTATTCTTCAAAGAAGCTTGAAATCACCATCCCAAAATCCAGAGCAGACCTATTTGAAGCAAGGTAAATATTTTGAATTTTAAAATCTACCTCTATTTTTTTTTATTAAATTTTTAGAGACAACATGGTTGCTGTGAAGGAAATCAAGTGCTTCTCTAAAAGATTGGTAGGAGGTTTGGGCCCTCAATTGCAAACTTTCTATCGAGCTATCACAACAAGCACTGCAAATGATGCTGTCGACATGGAAAGGCTTGAAATCTTGGGTGATGCTTACCTCAAATTTGCATCGTCGTTGTACTTGTTTGAAACATACGACTTTGCAGAAGGAAAGCTAACTGACGTAATAACAAATATTATATATCAGATTGAATAAATAATAAATGAATAAAAAAATTTCAGTTGAAAGGTAAAATTGTGGGCAACAAAAACCTTTTTTACTGTGCAATGAACAGAGAGATAAGTGGTTACCTCCACGCTTCAAGATTCTCTCCTCGACTTGAGTGGAAGGTAATAAATGTGCAAAATAAATTTTTTGTTTTACCTAAATCTTTTGTTATTAGCCACCAAATTACAAAGTGCCTGAGACAACAATTAAAGAAATTCTGTCAAAGAAGCTGAATCCACCCGTCTTAAAGAAAATAGAAGGGTACCAAAAGGATGGTCTTCCAAACACTGATGATTGGTTGTACTTCAAAGATTCAACTGCAAATGAGTCGTTCCATATGATTCTTAATCTTCAAGACATTTCTGATAAGGCAAATTGAGTCGCTTTATGTTCAAATCTCATTTTCAATCTTGGAATTAATAGTATGTTTCTGACTGCGTGGAAGCTTTGATTGGTACTTACGTCGAAAGCTGTGGGCCTATTGATGCCGCTGCCTTGCTGGTTTGGTTTGAAATCCTTCCTCAAACTGTAACAGCTATCATGACCAGTCCATCCAAAAGCTGTGTTAACTTGGAAAATATGGAGTCTCGCAGCTCTGTCGAAGAGCATGTGAACATGCACCTTCCAAGTATAGATGAAAGATAAATTTTAGAAAAACTATTGTATTTACAATTTATTTTAGGGGTTTCCTCGATTGAGCAAGTCCTTGGCTACAAATTCAAGGACAGAGCCCTGCTTCTACAAGCGCTGACCCATTCGTCGTGCATGTCAAACAGAATTACTGAATGCAATCAAAGATTGGAATTCTTGGGTGATGCAGTTCTTGGTAAGTAGATTCTCTGTATTCATTAATGCGATAGCTTATTATGTTCCTCATAGACTTTTTGATCACATGCTATATTTATGAGCATTGTGGAAACTTGTCGCCGGGCGCAGTGACTGATTTGCGCTCTGCACTTGTGAACAATGTAGTCTTTGGCTCTCTGGCAGTGCGCTATGGACTGCACACATACCTCCTGCATAATTCGCCAAGTCTTTTTCAAGTCATTGATGCATTTGTTGAGTACCAGCAGAATAACAACCACGCCATCAGTGAAGAGGTGAATTTTCCGCAAATATAATTTGTCTCTTTTCAATTATTGTCTCTGTTATTTCAGTACTTGTTGGCTTTAAACGAGGACAGTTGCTTGAGCACAGCAACATACATTGAGGTGCCCAAGGCTTTAGGAGATGTCTGGGAAAGCATTGTTGGGGCCGTTTTCTTGGACTCTGGCAAAGATCTGGCCAGGACCTGGGCCGTGATCTATCCTCTGATGAAGAAAGAAATTGGTAAAAAAATATTGCTCTATTGTTTTCTTTGCTTAACAATTTAAATTTTTACAGATCTCTTTAGTGTTAATGTGCCAATTCAACCCGTTCGTAGGCTTTATGAGTGCTTTGGGAAGGAAAACTCTGTTTTCAAGTAAGTAAACAAATATTTGCCCATGTTTTGGATTTTTTTAATATAAAATATTATTTTTTAGGCCTGTTGAGAGAGAAGAAGGAACTGGGCGTGGTGTCTTGATGAAACTGACTGTGAAAACCAAAGACCAAGAAATTATCTGCTACGGTCAAGGTAGGAACAAGCAACAAGCCAAAATTGCCAGTGCCAAATACGCCTTCAAGCGGATTCAAAATGGTCTGCCGAAAAAGTGACAACTTTTCAAAATAATCAAATGTGATTTATTGTTGGAGATATATTTTATCATTAATTTTATTTCTCTATAAATTATTTCTAGAAAATCAATATGCTAGCCAAATTATGTGTAAAATAAATACTCTGAAATTATACCAAAAAAAAAAATCTAAAAAAAAAACGCACCTCTATTAAGGCTTTATAAACGGCTGGGAAAAACTCCAATTGTGGCTTTCTGGTCCACTAACATTAATAAGCTGCTCAATTCTCTTGGAGAAATAAGTTGTCCACCACACTGATTTTAAAAATAAGTTTTAGTGGCTGGGTAGGAAAGATTTCTTACTTAACAAAAACAAAATCTTGGTAAATTTTGATTTTGATATAGATACCAATATTTAAATTATTTTTTTTCTTTAATTACTTGTGGTGCAGAAACACTACACTACTACAGTTCGTCATTTGTTTCAAATTGGGCAAGGCGCTATTTATGATGGCTTCATTTATCAAGTGCTTTGTCAATATTGAATTAATTTGTCTGTTCAATGAACAAAACTAATTTTCTTCTAGACTATACATTAATACCATTTTAACGTTAAGCTATTGCGGGCAATCAAAAAGAACTAACAACTTGAACTCTGCACTCACAATCAGGTGCTATTCTGCGCCGCTTCTCGGTCCCCTGGAGCAAAACATAACGCAACGTGCTTTACTTCAGTGTCGCACAGGTTGCATAGCTTGAACGCCGGGTTGTAGCACCAAGTGCAGTTTTGATACGCGTAAGAGAAAAAAGACGAGCAATCTCTCATCACTTCAGTTTTTTTGCACTTTGCAAAAGCTATCTGATCTTCATATTGTCCACTTTAAGAATGTTTCTTTGCAGCTCTCTAGAGCTCCTGCACCAAGCCATTTTTATTGCTTTTTACACCAAGGATATGATATTAAAAAGACTATTTAGTAAAGTAAAGCACAAAACTTACTCAAGGTAAACTATGTTAGGGGTTTATAATGACTTTTTCTATAAAAAATTACTAATTTCAAACTTCAAAAAAGCTATGTAGAAAAAACAGTAATAAAAAGATGAAATGGATTTTTTTTTCTTTTAAACTTTTTGTAAATGGATGATCATCTGGCATAATTATCTAGTAATGCAGGTCTCTCACTGTTCGATGATTTTTACCTCTTTTCGGCCATCCATAATTTAATTTTATTTAGATATAAACAAGACAAATGAACGATCACACGTGCAAAAATCACTCGTCTGTGATGTTAAGTTATTTACAGTAGCCTAGTTAGAGTAACAATCGTGCTAAAAATTTTAAACGTTTTTATCTAACGTCCTAGACAAAATACTTTTCGTTTGCGTGAATAGAGAGCCATTCAATCACAGAGTCGTAGTGTTGGGTCCGCCATTGAACATTAAGCTGAATATTTTCCAAGGACTGTTTCACTGCTAATTTAGAGTCGCTTAAGTACTTAATGTTTTGGGTCGTAAATGTTTTCATCTGAAAGGTAAATTTTTTTAACAAATAAGAGTTGGTTTAGAAATAAAAATTACCAATTCCAAATCATATTCTGTATTCATTGACTCGGAAATAGCTGATAAGTAGCGTCCAATGCGATTTGCCTTAGGTCCAAAGCTGACAGTTAGAAACAAATATATTAATAAAATTTGGAAGTTATTTCAAGAAATTAAAGCGTACAAAGTGTGAATGTCCTTGATCCGGGAGAAGAGGAACTCTCTGGCAGCGTAGAATCCAGTCGAACTGCGAGCCACAGAGTAGAAAACGCTGATGGCGTCCTGCTTGCGAATTCCTGAGCTTTCGTTCAAAGACATGTCCAGGAACCTTTGCAAAGTTTTAAAACGTGAATTCATTGTGAATAGTAGGCATTGAAAAAATTACTTGTGCAGAAGCCACATTTCTTTGGTGCAACCGAGAGCACCCAAGAGCTTTCCTTTCTCAGCGGCCACGTTCGAGCTAAGGTAGCGCTTCCATATGAAGTCCCAGGCCGGTTGGCCTCCAACCTTGACTGCTGAACAGTAAACCAGGCTCCTCAGGTCAACAGGAACTCTTAAAATAATTTTTGGTCAGTTGTATTTTTAAACAAAAGTCTTTAATTAAATAATTGAAGGCATTTTTTTATGAAAATTATTTTAACTAAATATTTTATTAAAATTTAATGAATTATCATAAATTATATTATTTTCAGAGAAGATTTATTTTAAATTCATGGAAGAAAACATTTTTTGGTAAATTTTGATGGAAAATTTATACTCACGGGTTTACAACATCCGGGTCTTCGGTCTGTTTCTGCCAGTTCTGGAAAAGAGCAGACGCCCTTTCCTCGCAATCATCCACCCCCATTGAACAGGCCCAGCTGAGCAATTGCGCCCTGTTCTTGGTTTGCGGCAGCGTGTCCTCCGGTTTGCGGGCCCTGAAAGGTTCATCGCCTAATTCTTTGTAAATTGGGGTCAACAAGGTCTGCATCAGAGTCCTGAAGGCGCCAAAACCGGAAGTGCGACGGGTCATTCGGGTGAAGTAGACAAGGTTGGAAAAGGCGGCTCGCCACGGCAAGTACTCGCGTTCGTGTCGCAGGTAGCGCAGCAAATCAAGGGCCGCGCTGTACTCAAGCTGACCGGCCCTCGCCAGGTCCAGGGCGTCGTCCACCAGCTGGGCTCTGTTCAGGGTGGGAATTCCTCCGTAGTTATCTTTCGACCTCAGCGACTCGGACAAAAGTTGCCAGTTGTTCATGTCGTAGTTAACTCTGTACAGAGCTGTTTTCAAATTTAGATGAATAAATATTGGTTCATAAAAACTCTTCGGTTTCTTACCAGTAGAGTTTACGTTGAGAAGTAACCAGTGCTCTTTGCTGGGGAGGCTTTTCAAAGTTGCGCTAGAATCGTTCATCCAAAGTCGAGGCATTGTGCTAACGTCCACTAGGGCGCTTGACGAGTCTGTATAGCTGACGGGCACCCACCAAATACTGTCACCAGACGTACGACCGTACCAGTCAGTCAAAAAGCGACTCTGCAAATTTAAAAATACGTAAATAGAAAAAACGCTTCTTGAACAAAATGAAATATATACATTTTCAAAAATTTAAAAAAGTAAATAAAATTGAAAAATATTATATCAGTTTTGCAAAAAGTGATCCGAGGGAAAGTTTTAGTCAAAATTAAATTTCAAAGATCTCTTGGATCAAATATTTTACTGTTTAAAAAAATAAATGATATTAATAATTAAATTTACAGAGTAGACTTTGCTGTAAGGAAAAAAATCTCTTGTCTAGATTTTGCAATGTGCGGGTGTTATGTAACTGAAAAAAGTTGAAAATTCAACCTGGGTCAATTCAGCAGTGCCGTCCTCGTAGTTCCTTGTGACTTGGATGATGGGATAGCCCGTTTGGAGGGTCCAGCTGTCCATGATTTCCTTCACTGTAGCTCTTGCAGGGGCAGCCGACTTCTTATCAACATCTGCCAATTAAAATTTAAAGTTTTCTAATGTTTTAGCGCGGAAATTTTCGTCAGAGGTGCAAGTGCAGTTCACCTGGGTTGCATCCGCTAATTAGCTGGGAAAAGTGGTGCTGGCGGTGCGGGTGCGAGCGAAGGGCGCGGTGCTTTTTTCTGCGGCGCAACATTCTGCTGCGATATCGCCAGCCACCTTTCCAGCATTTTGCGACCTCAGTTTCACCATTTTATTTTAATATAACATCCCCCATCCCCACTGATTTTCATTTATTTTTCAAAAAGATGCAGAGAGTAAAAATTGTTACTCACCTTTAGCGGAGTCAAGCTGCGCCTGTTCCTCTAAACAGGCCCACAGAGCGTCTTGGGCTGCGTTTCCAAATTGATGGGCTTTCAGGTATCGAGTAACACCTCGCCTGAAGGTACCCTCACCCAAAAAGTGGTTCATCATTCTCAGCAAAATAGCACCTTTTTTCAGAAATACAAATTTTGTAAAAATCCAAAATATTTCAAAATTCTAACCTTTGGAGTAAGAAATGGCGTCAAACAATTGTGGAATCTCAGAAGCGTGTTTAATCTTATTTGAAACTGAATGGGACGACTGGAGGGCGTCCACTGAAAAGACGGACAATAGAGATTCCATCATTTGGTCCTCAAGAGAACTCCATTTTGGCTGGGCCTAATATTCATATCTTATATAATATTTTTTATACAAGGGGTGATCTAAAATATTACATGAGACGTTCCCAGAGCGGCGACATAAGTGGCAAATCCTTCGTTAAGCCAGATGTCATCCCACCACTTCATGGTGACCAAATTTCCAAACCACTGGTGCGCCAATTCGTGCGCCACAACCCGAGTGACTGATTCCTGCGAAGTGGCTGGAGAAACTCCTTCCTCGTAAAGCATAGCAGTTTCCCTATTATCAATCATAAATCTCTTTCCTTTTTTAATTTATTATATTTTGGCACCTGTAAGTGACCAAGCCCCAGTTCTCCATGGCACCTGAAGCGAAATCGGGCAGGGCGATCATGTCCATTTTGGGCAGCGGATAGGGCACGTTGAAGTACTCTTCGAAAAAGTCGAGCACCTTAGGAGCGATGTCAAGCGAGTAGGTAGCCTGCGCGATCGCGTCAGGTCGGGCCCAGACCCTGAAGGTCGTGTCGCCGGGTGTGGATTCTAGATAGGCGAAGTCGGACACAACAAACGCCACCAAGTACGTTGACATTCGCACTGACTCGGTGTATTCATCACGGAACCAATCGTCAGCCCTTTCATTAATTATTTTTACACATGTTATTTAATTATTATTTTAAATAAAAACTCACAGGGAAACAGTTTTGGCGAGGGGCATGTTGCTGATGGACGAGAAATTTTTGTGTCTAATCAGGTTGATTTGGAACACAGCCTTCATCGCAGGTTCGTCGAAGCATGGGAATGCCCTTCGAGCGTCCGTCGGCTCAAATTGCGTGACCCCGAGCCACCTTTTTCAGACAAAACCATGCATTTTATTAAAAGGTGCATCTTAATTTCATTTTTCGCTCTTTATAATGGCGTTTTGTGTTTAATTGACCGGCAAGCTCGCGTGAGCCACGTGATACAAGAGCTCGTGTCTCTAGAGACACGAGAAAACCGCGCGGCGGCGATTAGCATTCACACGGAGCAAGTGTGTCATTGCCGCTGACAGGTGCTTTTTTATTAGACGCGCGCGAGTTCGATTCAATTAATTATGTACATCATGCACGTGCTTGTTGGGTAAAGAGAGTGGCTTCCACTGGCCGCCCGCCAAGAAAAAAGAAAAACGAAAACCAACTTCGACATGTGGGAATAATGTAACAGAGGCAGAAAGTCGGTCTGCTGTACATCCATAATACAAAGCCATATAATTATGTTGCTGCGCGCACGAAAGTTTCAGTTGAAAGTGAAACTAGAGAAATTTTATACGCAGCAAGAACTCTCTTTGAAATTTGCATTATATTGAATAACTTATTTAAAAAAAACTTAAGTTTTTAAAAAATTTAATTAATTTTTTCTCTTACTTGGTTTTTCCCGTCGCCTTTTCCTTGTAGCTGCTTCTGTAAAACCCAGCCAAAAGAGGCGTCAGCGGTGCCTCGAACGGAATGTCCACCTTGTATTTGTGCTCACTTTTCAGCTCTTCCTTCAAATGAATGATGTAGAAATTATTCTCGCCATCGATTTCATGTCCAGCAATGTCCAAATTCTGCCCAGACGAGTTATCAGTGACCTTGACCTCATCAGTGGTCAAATTAAGACCTCTAGAGTGGAGCACAATCTTGGCAGTGTCCGAAGTGCAGAAAATTCTGATTCTGACGCGCCCTTCAAACCGGAAATTGTCCTCCTCCAAAAATGTTTTAATGTCCAAAGTGTAGTGTTCAGGACGTAGGTTTTCGGGAAGGCGGTACGAAGAGATGTTCGATTCGACAGGATCCTCAGTGCTGCTGGAAACCGCTTGGGAGGTTGACAGGTCTTCGGCGGCAAAAATGCTGCTGGCAGTGGTGGACAGGGCAGAGTCGGCAGTCGACGCTTCTTGTCCGCGAGAAAAGCTCGCCAAGAGCAGCACCAGAATAAGGGCCGCCGTCATGGTTAAAAATTGCACCAGTGCCTATTCATTTAAATTTTAATATATTGGAATTTTTAAATTTAATGTTTATATTTATTCATTTCAACTCTCGCTCAATCCCATGTTATCAAAATAGTCTTTTTTTAGCTTGCAAATAAAAAATTCAGAAAAAAATTACCAATATTCATAAACTCCTAAAAGTCCAAAAAAATCCTCTTTAAAATATTTTTATAGAGTTCTGAATGTTATGATTTGCTTCATTTGCTTTAAATAGGCAATGCTTAATATTTTCTTAAATAATTAATTTTTTTAATTTATTTCATTTCTATTTATATCAATATTTTAAATAATCCTTTACAGAGTATAAGCGGTTTTAGTTCTTAAGCCACAATTCAAATGTAAATTTATTTTAAATTGCTCTTACTCTTGCCTTAAGTATTTATTTTTATTGTGAAAAAAAAACAATTTAGAGAGTATCTTAACTGTGGATACCGTTTGACTATAACTGCGCTTTATTTACATTATTCAAAAATACACTCTTAAATTGAGCGTCTAAATTTGTTGAATTAGAACACGGTCGATCAGTGGCGGGAGAGTCTTTGTAGCGAAAATTGATTTAAGGCGTTATATGGCCGGTCATTGACGAACACAACAAGCGCGCGTGAAATGATTTGCGATGCAAATTACAGACTACCTGAACAAGCAGCGTAATAAATTTGAATAATTATCACCAGTTTAAATGCGACGATAATTGACGTGTGCGCATGTTAGTGGACTCAATGCATTTTAAAGCAAAGATCCTTCCTAGATTCTATTCGAATCAATGAAAAATTACTCAAAATTCACTCTTATATATGAGTTTTGCTATAGTTTAATTTTACATAATATTATATCTTTTAAAATTCTAAAAATCACGTCTAACGGGGAAGTCTCCTGCTACTCATATCTGGAAATAATATGCAAACATATGAGACGGATCCGCGTTTGACATTTGTGCTCAAAAATTAATATGCGAAATCAAATAGGTGCAGAGCCAGAATGTTTAATAATGATGTACATATAAATATATTGAAGTTTAGCAAAACTGGTTCACATTTGAAATTGGGTTCAAGAAACTATGTGTTGGGCGCTCATCATCTCAAGAGGTCAATAACAGCCAATAACTGCCTTCTCAAGCTAGCCGCCGTCAAACTAATTTGGCCTTCAAAAAACCTGTTTTAATCCTAAATCAAATCTCGCTCTCAGTTTATTAATTTTGAACAATAATATAAATATAAATTTAAATTTAGCAGAGAACAATCTGTGCATTGAAATACACAATAAAAAATTAAATACTGTAGTAATTGAAACTAAATAAAATTTTACGTATACTATTTTTGAAGCTGAAAAAAAAAACATTTCTTTAGCTTGCGTGTAAAATATTTTTCTCTGAATTTTGTGTACTCTTTAATTAATTAAAATATTGGTTTTCTATTATTGTAAATTTAAAGTTTTTGCTACTGATATGACTTAAAATTAGATTTTTAATATGCAACTTTTCACCAAATGTAAGGAAAATTTTTTGGATTAAAATGTGAGCAAGCAGGAACGTCAAAGTCTTACCGTGCGACCAGAAGGATTGCTGATGGGTCAATGGCTGGGTCGGGTGGCGCGCGCGGTGCCTGTCTCTCACCTGCACCTCCCAGTGGTCCCCTCTTTTCATATTTGTTATTGGCAGCAGGGAATGCCGTGTGATGGAACCCATTTAAGCACCATTATGCTATTTTCTTTGCGCACCAAAATCGATAAGAGCAACACAGAAGGACGCATTTTCATTAAACTGATTCATTTTGATCCGTGGCTGTTTTTTTCATTTAAAAAATTCTTTAATTCATAAAAAAAACATACACACACACACACACACACACACACACACACACACACACACACACACACACACACACACACACACACACACACCAAGTTTTTCTTTTTTTTACTTCAATATACTGTTATTAGAAACTTTCATTTTCTTGAGTAATAACTGGCCTAACGAATATCAAATTACATCTCCTTTGTGCTACAAAGTGTGTCATGTCAGAAGTTAAATGTGTGCAAAAAGCGTGCAGATTATGCAATGCCGTCACAGCTTACATTCGGAAAGTGGTTCAGCAAGTCTAAGAAGTCATTATAATCTGTGTTGAATAAGTCAACCTCCCATTGATGCTGCAATATTTGACAATAAAATCAGCTAGTATTTTATCAACACCCTAACTCTTATTTTGTAACCAAAATAAATTTTAAAGCAAAAGTCGAAAATAGATTTAGATTGTAATTTAATAAATTTTATTTGCACAATAATATTTGTAATGCACATAAATATAAAATTTGTACAAATATTTAACAACCAAACAGCAGCCATTTTTTATGACGTACAAATTCAAATTTGAATCACAATACTCTTTGAGCAATCTTTGTTTTCAAAAGCACTTCTGGCAAAAATTCCTGGTGCATCACGATGGCAGCTTTCCTTGAAAGGGCCTCTTTAGTAGAGCGGTAATGCACTCGGTAGCAGTGACTAGTCCACTCCTCACCATCAGGACTGTAGGTATTCACCAATTCTTTTTTCATCACAAACCGACCCAAAGCTCTCCACAAAACCACATTGAACTTGGCCTCACTAAACTGCTCTCCCAGAATAAAGCAAATGTCCAGCACATGAGTTCTGGGAAAAATGGAGGTGGGAACAAAGGTACTTTTGGCATACTTGGCGTTCAGCAGGTCTCTAAAGCTGGCCAGCTTGAAGAAAACCTTGGCCAGCAGGTCCAGTTCCACAATCACAGCATTTTTGTGGCACTTGTAAGCAAGATCGCGCCCGGCGTACTGGACAGTCCACTGGTCTTCGTCCATTTCGACGTCCAGACTAGACTCTCCAAGCAGTGAGGTGAGCCAAAGAGTGATCAGTCCGGTGACTCTATCAACCTCAAAATGCTTGATGATAATTTGGTACGGCGCTGGAGACTCGGAAAAGGGCAATTCATCCAGCGGCTTGAAAACTGGGCCGAAAGTGACAAAAGAGTCTTTCTTGCAGAAATCCATCACATCAGCCAAACTCCTCCTCAGGTACTTGACAGAATTCTGCAGGTAACAGGCCACCCTTTTCAGGTTCAGGTCGCAGTGATAAGGCAGGTAATTGGTGTGCACCACCATGAAGTTCTCTCCAAAGCGAGATGAGTTTTTGATCAAGTCGACCAGTTTATTGTACAAATAAATTTGGGGAGTTAGCTTTTGATCGGTGCTCATGAAGAAATTTGTCTCCACTTCGGAGAGGGCTGCGCACACTTCTAGGTGGGTGCGATCACATTGAATGTTTCCGTAGCGAGTGGACAGCTGGACGAGACTTTCTTTCTCAGTGACCTTGGGCAGCAGAAGAGGAGGCGGAGCTGGTTCAAAAACGTGCACTAGAGCGTTTTCAGTGTGAAACCACTGCTCTCGACTTCGGAAACCCACACTGGAATATCCATCACAGAGATCGTGATTGAAGGGGAGGATCTGGCTCAAGACGAACCCTGAAAATGAAAATAAGTAAATTTAATATAAAAAATTGTTTTTATTTATTTATAATGAGCTGAATTAAATAGAAATTAAATTTAAGAAAAAAAATACCTGAAGCTGCAGCCATTTCGTTAATTTGCCAGGAATTTCCCCACACTCGTTGATCGCTTCCATCAGCCTCGGTTCCTCCTTGACCTTTGCAAAGGTTGACAATCACCCTGGGCGTGCACGCAGTAGGCAACTTTTGACAAGAATTCGCAAGGAATTTTCTGACACTGGCAAAGAAGTTGCGCAGCAATTCCCTGTTGCGATGGATTTTCATTTTGCCACCGATGTGTGGAAAATTAAAGATGATGCAGTTGGAAAGATAATCTTCATTCAGGCGTAGGTAATTGTAGGTGTGAAGTTTTGTTGCATCCACTCCGAACACAACACGAGCACCTGTCAAGGAAAAAAAATTATAAATAAAATTCCTTTGAAAACAATAATAACAACAAAACAATAAAAATATGTATCATAAAAATGATTTTATAGTTTAGTAATTTCAGTTAATAAAATAATTATGTTAATTTATAAATCACATACCCTGTTCTTCAAGCAGAGCAACGTTTTCTTCAGCTCCTTTCAAAATTTTGTCTTTTTCCTCGAAACAGGTTGCAATCACGTGCCGCAACTTTCCATGCCTCTTTTTGAAGTTCAAGGCAAATGAGAAGTTGCCCTCTCCCACGAAAAGGACTCCGTCGTCCTTGCTGAACAGACTCGGGTCCATCTCTCCTCTTGTTCGGCGGGCGGCGAGGTCAAATGTCGACGGAAATCGGCGCCGGTGGCATCGCCAAGCCCCAATTTTAGTAATCTTCGGCTCGTTTGAATTTCCCTCTCGGCCGCATGGATCTTGTTTTGATTCGGCGGCGCGACGTTGTCACGTGTCTCCGATAGGCTGCAACGTCGCGCATGACGTCACTTTGCAAAGTCTCGAAGTCTGTGGATCAACACGACGTGCTGCTTGAACATGGCGTGAATTTCGAACAGATATTTGTGTAAATAGTTCGATCAGAGACGATTAATCGACTCTTTCGAGGTCGCGAGCAGACGCGGCCGCTGGTTGAGTTGAATTAGGCACTCGCGAATTCGGAGCCGAAATGAGTGTCGACACGTACGGGCCGAGTTCGCAGACGCTCACCTTCCTGGACACCGACGAAGGTGCCGATCTGATCGGGGCCGACACGCAGGGCTCGGAGTTCGACTTCAAGGACTTCACTTTGCCCTCGCAGAGCCAAACCCAGGCGTCCCAGTTGGACATCGGACACCACTCGATCTTGCCCGGACAGGTAAGGACGGGGGAAAAGTTGAGCAAGGCAAGCGTGGTGTGCGCGAAAAATTAGTGCGCCACCACACTAATAGATTAAAAGGCCGCAATTTGTTGGTCAAGGACTCGTTGGGTCTGACGCTGCGTTTCTGTTTGCAGGTCAACGGGCTAATTTTGGAGAATGGCACGGACAGGGACGTTGTCGCGGTCACCTCGGCCTTGGGCGAGTTGCAGTTTGAGGAGGAGGAAGAGGAGGCTTATTACAACCGGGTATTTATAGGTTTTAAAGTGATAAAAAAATACATAGCATGAAAGCAAAACGGAAAAAGTTTAAATCGCTGTTTTTTAGTTGATAAAAAAAAATAAAAAAAATTAAAATTGTTTTTAATCTGGTAGGAATTTTGATTAAATAGTTGTGATTCATTCCATTTGAAAACTGCAAAAAGTATTACATTATTTTATTGTACTTGTTAAATTGTAAAAATATTAACTTTTTTTAATCTCTTTTGTTTGTTTTGCTTTTCTTCTTAAAAATTTTGTTCTACAGGACCTGCCAGACTTTGCTTGCCGTTACTGCTGCATCCACGACCCAGGCTGTGTGGTTATGTGCAACATATGCAAAAAGTGGTTCTGCAATGGTCGTGGCAACACATCTGGCTCCCACATTGTGAACCATCTGGTCCGAGCCAAGCACAAGGAGGTGACTTTGCATAAGGACGGACCTTTGGGAGAAACCGTACTTGAGTGTTATTCATGCGGAGTCCGGAACGTCTTTGTCCTCGGGTTCATTCCGGCCAAAGCCGACTCGGTCGTGGTGCTCCTTTGTCGCCAGCCATGCGCCGCCCAGAGTTCTCTGAAGGACATGAATTGGTAGGTTTGAAATTTTAAACTGGAAAATTAATATCAATTTTAAATATTTAGGGACCAAGAGCAATGGAAGCCACTTATTGCAGACAGGTGCTTTTTGTCTTGGCTGGTGAAAAATCCCAGCGAGCGAGACCAAATGCGGGCCAGGCAAATCTCTGCCCAGCAGATCAACAAGCTCGAAGAGTTGTGGAAGGAAAACGCTGAAGCCACATACCAGGATTTGGAAAAACCTGGCGTGGACGAAGAACCGCAGCAAGTTTTGCTCAGGTAAAAAAATTAATATTTGTTTCGAAAGCAATCTTACGATTCTTACATTATAAAAATTTTAGGTACGAAGATGGATACCAGTACCAGAACATTTTTGGGCCTCTTGTCAAACTCGAAGCTGATTACGACAAAAGGCTGAAAGAGTCGCAGACTCAAGACAACATTGAAGTACGCTGGGATGTTGGTCTCAACAAGAAAACCATTGCTTATTTCACACTTGCGAAAACTGATGGAGGTTTGTTAGTAATTATTTAAGCCTGGACAAATAAAATTAAAAATTTATTTAACATTTTAGACATGAAACTAATGCATGGTGATGAGTTGCGCCTGCGTTACCTGGGTGAGCTTCACAAGCCTTGGTCTGGTGTGGGCCACGTTATAAAAATTCCCGACAACTTTGGAGAAGAAGTTGGCATTGAGCTGAAAAGCAGCACCGGCGCACCCACTGATTGTGTTTCAAACTTTGTTGTTGACTTCATTTGGAAATCCACTTCATTCGACAGGTCAGTCTCAGATGAAGTATTTTAAAAAATTATTTGACACATTTTGACACAAATTCAGGATGCAAGTTGCTCTCCGAAAATTCGCCGTTGACGAGAATTCAGTCTCGAGTTACATCTATCATCGTCTACTGGGACACGAAGTAGAGGAGGTCCTCTTTCGTTGTAATTTGCCCAAACATTTCTCAGCACCCAATCTTCCTGATCTTAACAGATCTCAAGTAAGTATTGCTAAATATTCGGATAGGAATGATTTTTAAATTTCATCTTAATTTAGGTCTACGCTGTGAAACAGGCCTTGCAACGTCCCTTGTCATTGATTCAGGGTCCTCCTGGAACAGGAAAAACCGTCACCTCAGCGTCAATTGTTTACCACCTGGTGAAGCAGAGCAATGGGTCAGTTTTGGTTTGCGCTCCTTCAAATACGGCTGTAGACCAGCTGACAGAGAAGATACACCTGACCGGACTGAAGGTTGTCCGTCTCTGCGCCAAGTCAAGAGAGGCCATCGACTCGCCTGTGTCATTCCTTGCGCTGCATAATCAAATCCGAAATATGGATAGGTATAAATTATTTCTATTTGCTTTAGAATTATTAGTAACTCCACATCTTATTTCAGCAATACTGAGCTGCAAAAGCTCCAGCAGCTAAAGGACGAGACCGGAGAATTGTCCTCTGTGGATGAAAAGCGGTACAGGATGTTGAAGAAGAGTGCTGAGAGGGAGTTGATTGAGGCAGCAGATGTGATTTGCTGCACTTGTGTAGGCGCCGGAGACCCAAGACTGCAGCGACAGAAATTCAACTCCATTTTGATCGACGAAAGCATGCAGGCCACTGAACCAGAGTGCATGGTGCCAGTTGTCCTTGGGGCAAAACAACTGATTCTGGTCGGCGATCACTGTCAGCTGGGTCCTGTAGTCATGTGTAAGAAGGCTGCCAGAGCTGGCCTTTCACAGTCACTGTTCGAACGCCTTGTGGTCTTGGGCATCAAGCCCTTCCGTCTCGAAGTTCAGTACCGAATGCACCCTGAATTGTCAAGATTCCCATCAAACTTCTTCTACGAGGGCTCTCTGCAGAATGGCGTCAGTGATGGTTTGTGAAATAAATTATTTTAAGCTGAATGCAAATCTAACTATCTTAAAACTTTGTAGATGACAGACGTTTGAAGGGCATCGATTTCCCTTGGCCTCAGCCTGAAAAGCCCATGTTCTTCTATGTCACCCAAGGTCAGGAGGAAATTGCAGGATCAGGAACCTCTTACTTGAACAGAACCGAAGCTTCCAATGTTGAAAAAATCACCACCAGATTCCTGAAAGCTGGTATGAAGCCAGAGCAGATCGGAATCATCACCCCTTACGAAGGTCAACGTGCTTACTTGGTTTGTTTTTTTAAATCTAATTTTTGTGCAGCCGCTTGATTTTAAATTTACACAGGTTCAATACATGCAGTACCAAGGCTCTCTTCATTCAAAGCTGTATCAAGAAATTGAGGTTGCAAGTGTCGACGCCTTCCAAGGTCGAGAGAAAGACCTGATCATTATGTCATGCGTCCGTTCTAATGAACACCAAGGAATCGGTTTCCTGAATGACCCGCGACGTCTCAATGTAGCTCTCACTCGAGCTAAATATGGTATCATCATTGTTGGAAATCCAAAGATCCTCTCTAAGGTAAATGAAAATTAAAAATTGTAAAATATTTGACTTGTTTAAATTTTCAGCAACCTCTCTGGAATAATCTGCTGAACTTCTACAAAGAACACAAGGTGCTGGTCGAAGGACCACTAAACAACTTAAAGGAGTCGCTCATTCAATTCTCCAAACCCAAAAAACTGATCAACTCTGCCAATCCTGGCACCCACTTCATGCTGACAACCATGTATGATGCTCGCGAAGCCATGATCCCTGGCAGCATCTACGACAGGACCGGAGGACACATGAATGGAATGGCAGGGCCCTCTACATACTACAGACCAAACCAATGTAAGCTGGATTCCCTGAAACTTATAATTTAAGCTAATATAATTACAATCATTAGGTTTGTGGCCTGGTGCTCAAATGGACCCCTACAGCCGAACCCACGATGCCATTAGCTACATTTCACCTGAGAGGGCTCAGGCGGCTATGAATAACATGCCAGTGCCTGTTGGAATGTTCATGAACATGACACACGTTCCTCCTAGATTCTACAATCAACACCAACAATCTTTACAAAGTAAGTTAAGCTTCTTATTTTTTTTCATCTTGCATCTTCAATTATATAAGAGAATGGGTTTCAATAAAGTTCCGTTTAGCTAGTAAATAGCTGTGATGTTGCCTTTATTTATTAAAAATTAAAAAATGTTTTCTTGCAGACGTTCGTCAAGGTGGAAGAGGTAATGGCCGAGGCGGTAACACTCGAGGAGGTCGTGGAGGAAAGCCTGGCCGTGGAATTCTTCGTACTGGTGGACAGAGCTTGAGCAGTCAAGAGGCGTCACAACCATACAGCCAGAATATGCCTTTAACTCAAGGAATGTCCCAGGTAAAAATAAAACATTATCTGGGGGGGGGGGGGGGGGATTTAAAAAAAATCAAAATAATCTTTGTAAAAGTTTGCACTTATTTTTAAAAAAAAAAATGTTTTATACAAAAATTGAAATCACGACTTATTAAATTTTGCTATTTCAGGGAATGTCTCAGCCAGGATTCAGCCTCTCACAGGCTGGTCTTTCCCAGCCAGAGTTCTCTCAAGATAGCTACATGATGGGTGGTGACTACCACTCCCAAGTCGACGGACTTCTCTCGCAGGACTCGACATACCAGGGAGACCGGTCCGCCTTCTACTCGGGCGCATCGCAGGGCGGCCAGTTCTCTCAGCCGTACTGAACTCGCACGGAGGATCACACACCTAAATTCGCAAATCCCAGGCTCGCGTCGCGACTGAGCAAGGTTGAGATACGAAAAATGAGCTGCTGCACAAACACACTGTTGTGAAGAGAAAGGAGAAAAGAAAGGCCCCCTGAAGTGAGACAAGATTTTCCAGATCAAGTTGTGGCCTCTCGTCCCTGCCGTGGAGTCGATTATTCCAGCTGCTCAGTCTCACCTGAGATTGCACCGAGTCTGGAATGGGGGATTTATAGAAGGAGGCAGTGGACAGAGCATCCCGAATCTGAAGCAGCGATCGTTCAGTACCAACCGCTTTGGTCTTGAATCAAAATATCACACGGAGTATCGAAAGCACTGCAATCAATGGAGACGAAGAAATATACACTAACTAACCACACCGAAAACCACCAGCAACACAGTTATCAAACATTAAAAGGGATTAACAATTTTCAGTTAGAGTTAGAATTTGCTTGTAATAATTGAGAATCAGAAAATTCACACGTAGAAGGGGTCCTATTTAATTTGAAGGAAAATTTATTCGCATCAACAGCTGCAACTTTAAATTTGACGTTTCTGACTTGAGGCGCACATGAAGTGCCGACAAATTATCATCAAACAGGGTATTTGCAACTCGCCACTAACGGATGAGAGACTCACTTTGTATGCGCCTCAAACCGGCTAAAATGTACTTCCTTTTTATTTAAGATTACTTAGTTTTTGTTCCAAAGTATGGAAATAAAATTATTTTTGCGATTGGGAATTGCCAGTTTATTTTTCTGATCAGATCATCCGCAACAAGTTTGTATTGGCGATTTCACTTTTTGCCGGGCCTGCCTGGAAAGACGCCGTCGCCGCACACATTTGAATCGCGTGATTTCTGGGCTACCCGATTATTGATCCCCTCGACGACCTCGTTCGCCCAGCAGCTGTCGTGGATCGACCGGTTGCATACCTCCCGAGGAGCCGCGAGCCCCAAAATGAAAGACCTCAAACTTAACCCAAGGACCCTGTCCGGCCGGAAAGTTGCCTCGGGAGAGACGTCAGACACGCGAGACGACGAGTAGTGCGAACGGAAAGTGAGGCAGCAGGTCGCTTTTGCGCATTGGCGGGCTGCGGTGGCGGGGGTGCGGGGGTTAAACATCAGCAGTACAGGGGCGGAAAAGTGGAAGTTATAGATAGCAGCGCAGGCAATACGGCCAGGCTAGTACACCGCCCGCCAGCCAGCCAGCTCTCTCTCGCACTCCCTCAAAGTTGCCATGGCAATGACGTCAGAGTAAAAGTAGTTTTTCCACCCGTCGTCTTTTCCAAGATGGCCGCGTACGTGTGTGTGGTGCTCGAGCGGTGCTGCGAGTAGTATTTGGCCACCGGATGGACCCTGGTAGGTGCAGCCGCGGTGCCAGCCTCGCCTAGTGCGGCCAGTTGTCTCGACCCGGGTGCCGTGTGCCAGTGCGGGTCGCAAATGCCGTGCTAACCCTTTCGCCGCGGCTGCAGCAGAAGTGGGATTCTGCTCGTCTCGCTGCACATCTGTCCGACCCTGAGAGCTACCGCGCTGCATCACCATGTCCCTTCTCAGCGTCACAGGTGAGTCCTGACACCGTGCTAGACCACCCTGCTCGGCGTCTTTCGGCCCGAGCGCGGCTCTTCCAGTTTCACTGACCATAGGCTACTTTTAACATGTATCACAATTAATTTAATCTTATTCACTAAATTAACACGTTTTTAGATGATATCGTTTTTTAAACAATTTTTTTCCACCAATAATGAATAAATAATTTTTTTTAAATTAATATTAGTAAATTCATTGGAAACATATTTTTCGTATAATGATGAATTGAAGAAAGTTATAAAAGTCTAAATTTTTAATTAAAAATTTGCAATATTGTGGAAAGAACTGTTAATTTATTAGAAATAGAAAAAATAGAAATAATATAATTTTTTGAAACATGGATGATATTCAATATAAATAAATCAACTGCTATTTTTATATGAATATTTAGCATTAAAATTTATTTTCAAATTTGATAATTCGGTGTCAAAAATCAATTAATGAAATCGACGGCAGTGAGAAAAAAACTCACTTAGAAATAATTATCTTGAAATTATCAAATTGTTACTATTTCAGTGAATGGTTAGTAAATAAATAATGATTAAATATCTAATGGCCTTGTGAAAATTGAGAAAAGTATACAATCTGTAGAATTCATTTTGCGTGAAGCTTCAAACAAAAGTGTTTGAGAAATCTTGGAAACCAAACGCCACTCAAGCCCACAAAGTGTCGCCGCGCAGATAAGCCTTCCACACTCAGTCAAGAAGAAAGGGAAATTCACTTTGTTAGTGTGTGAGTGGGTTGTGGTGCACAAAATGCATGCGGCGCTTATCGATTCGCCAGCGATTTAATTGGCTCGTGCACTGCCTGTGAGCAGCCACTTGAATTCCAAACTGCTTCGCCGCAATCTAGCGCTTCATAAAAAAAGCAGCGGCTATTTCCAGCTGCACTCTTTCCGCCGCTTTTGCCGTTTATCTTTGATATGCATTAAAAAAAAACCAGAGAAATACCGTTTTATTGAATATTTGCTCAGCTTGAAGGAGTTTTATAATTAAGTTTGTGATTGTTTTCGACCGACTAAGATTGCTTAAACTACGAATAAAAATTTTAGTAAAATAAGAACAAGTATGAGGGTTTGGATTAAATTTTAAAATTGGGAATTTAACTTATGCAAATCAGGATTATAAAATGTAATCAGTTCAATTTGAGAGACGTGTTTCTATCTAGCAAGGCGTTTTAGCTAATTAAACTTTTATAATTCCAGCACACGAATTTTGTATTCAGAGCTCGTCGGAATTTTTTGCCAAAAAATGAGGGCTTCTGTCGGACGTATTTTCATAGATCTGCCGCTAAAACTAAAAAAAAATCCATAATCTAATTAAATATAGTGTAAAAGTTATTAATTTTGACTGCCCCTGAATAAATCTCGCCTATATGGATAAACCGAATCAACATGATGTTCTATCTATAGTAAAAAAATCCGCCAGTCTCTGCCTGTAGAGTCACAAACATGCAATAATTTCCAGCGCTAAAAGGGCAAAAGTTATGTCTGTCGGGCGTCGCGCGCGCCGCGAATGCATTAAATAAAATGGGACTGGTCATAGTGGTCATCCAATCAGTGCAGCGTTTTGTCTCTTTTGCCCCAAACAAAAACAAACGCGCAAAGTTGAATGAAATAAACGGACGTTCTGCGAATCGAACGTGCCGTAAATAATTTTTATCGTCGGCCAAATTTATTCGTTTTTGCTGATTTATTGTTAGCGCGCGCGAATAATAAATTTTACGGAGCAGGTATGTGAGCGCAATAAAAAAAAAGAGCGAGGCTGGAGAAGCTGGACAGCAATTTCGCTAGGAGGAATTTGCTTGCCGGGCATTTGCGGAATTTTGTCTCGGCAGTCGGGCGGCATCCTTTGATTTCTCGGCGGAGAGCTATTGGTAAATAATAATGCAGAGCCGCCTAAGATCGACCTTCATCAAACTGACAGTCAAACGTCGGATGAAATTGAATCAGACCTCGCTGCCTGTTTATTAAAGCTGTCTAGCAGTCAAAATATTTTTCTCGTGAATCGGATTTCTAGAGATCTGTATTTTTATATATTGAAGAAAAAAAGGGTAAAAAAATTAATTTTTTACAGAAGTAATTTTCTTGAATTTTGGACTGGATTAATTATGTTGTAAGTATTTAATATTCGTAATGAATTTTTTCTAAAGATTTATTATGACCAATTTTATTTATATTATATTATTTATTAGTTCACAGATTGGATTTTTTTTTTAAATAAGAAGCAATTAATACGAAAATGAAAAATAATGTATATATTTTTTTAAATTTTATGATCAATCTTTGTTAATTCAAATGTCTTGATTTTGATTTTTATAATTTTTCCATGAAAACAATAGTCCCGGCCATCCATTAATCAGATTTTGAGCATCTCAGAGCAACAGTCATCGCAATATATTTCAAGCGCCTCGTCGCTCTCGCCGGTGTGGATCTGACAGACGATATAATATTTCATCACCGTCTCTCTCTCTCTCTGCCTGAGTGTGTAATTAAACGCCTACGAGATTTAAAACACTGCAACCCGCTCGACTGGCGAGGCTGCCGCGTTGCCTACTTACTCCAGACCTTTCTCTTTCTCTGTTCGTCTCGGCGCAAAGTGAGCAAACAAATGGTCCGTGAACTATGAAATTGGAGCCCGCCGTCAGGAGCTAGGGACCTACTCTTCGCGGTAATTAAACAAACGGTCCCGATATGGAAATATGTGTGGGCGAACAGAATTGTCCTCCTGCAGTATTGACTAGATTTGCTTTCTTGTATGGATGGATATGTGTGCGGGCGGAAAAGTGCAGCATCAGCGTCCAAGAATAGCTTTTGCCGAGAGCTGCCGCGTGGGAAATGGAACCCGACATATTTGCAAGCACACTTGACATTTATTCCCACGCACCGTGTCGCTCCAGGGGCCTGCGGGGGCAGATCTATTTTGAAGGCAAATGGAAAATCTACTTTGATTCTCAGCCGGCGGTGTGCCGACAAAGCCACGATCATTAATTAGCAAATAATTGGATCCAAATTAGGATATTGAGTGGTTTCTATAAATAGATTTCCTTGAGATTGAGTAGAACCGTCTAAATTTTTGGTGCGAACTTTTTTTAAATGGAATTAGCTCTTTGTTCCTGGCTCAAAGTTGTTCCGAGAAAACGTGCCCGTCTCGAAATTGGAAGGCGCAATCTGACGCCAAAACAGCGAAAGCTAGTTTTGAGATGCGTGCCGGGTGTCGGAATGGGATTTGGCGAGAGTGAAAGAGATAATCAAGCCGCGCGGTCGCAAGACAGCACTTCCATTATTCGGAAATGGCGTTTGGCTGGCGAGTGAGTGACCAGCACCGGCGTCGAGTTTAAATTGTTCGGCGCTGCACCATTAGCGCTGGAATTAGAGTCGCCAGCACAAAGACACGTGTCAAACGCGCCGATCGCGTTTTGAGAGCACTTAACGCAATAAATTGCTGTCTCGAGCCTTTCTGAATCGGGATCAATTATAACGTTTCACACAGTTCGATTTTTGTTTAAATTTCAGACCGCTTTTATTAATAATGAAAGTTCTTTGGATGAAAATGATACGCAAAATAAATTGTAAATTTTAAAAATTTATAGAAAAACTTAATTCAATTAAGTATAGAGAAATGAAATAGCATTATTGAAATTAATTGCTATACCAATAATACTTCAAATATTTAAATTTTTGTTTATCAAAAAATCGTCCTTATCCGATTGATTGATGATTTTGAATAAAAAAATTCTAAACTGAATTTTCATTTACAGCACTGCTGTTCATAAGAAATTAAATTATTGTTGAAAACTTGTACAATTCGCAAGAAAATGTACAAATGTTTCTACTTTATTGACGAGTTGAACTAATCGAGTTAAAGGACCTGAGGCTCTTGCCAGGTTGTGAGACGTACAGAGTTTATTAGGCGCATCCATTTGCGGCCGAGTGGAGGAAATTTCAACAGTAATGGAGTGGACGGATGACGTTAGTAATGACCGCTGTAATTGTGTCGAGTCTTAAAATAGCATGTGCTATTTTGCAGGACGTTGCTCTGGCGCTGCGCCGCAATTGACTAATCTTGACCCAGTGCCTTGGGGGCTGCTCCGCTCTCTTCTCCAGCAGCCGCCGCTCCCTCTCTCGCTGCCGGGCGCCCTCCTCTCTTTTGCTTATCTCCGTGCATCATTGCAAAGGCAAACTCCACCAGCCATTATTTCCGGTTACATCAAGTTTCGCAATTAAAAGAACAAAGATGCGCCTCTCCACTTCCTGCCGCAACTTCTTCATATCTTTCTTCGGGTCGCTCTGCACGATAAGCCGAACATTAGTGCATTTTTTTTAGACACTTTTGTTTGGTTCGGTCTGCGTGGCAACAAAACTCTTTCAAAAGCGGAGCAAATTAAATCTGTGGGCGGAAAAGTTTCAGTGCTTGGTGCGCCCAAATTAAATCCTTTCTCTCAGCGCCTCCTTGAAAAGGTACAAAAGCCGCGAATCTTTAGCGTTTCGTGGGCGTAAGAAGCTTTTCCGTCGATCTCCTGCGCTCTCTCTCAAACTTCAATTTTCTCCAATAAGCCCCCGTGTACGCTCGCTATTTTTGGAACGGGGTTAAAATATATGAACATTGCGGTGCGGCGGTGGTGGCGCGGGCTTTTAACTTCATCGCACGTGCAGATTTTATGCGATCAACTTTAAGAGTCGGTTTGTCGGCCGCGAGCACTTCAACACTCACTGCCGAGCGCGAAAATTATTAGCATAACGAAACGATGGAAATTATGCGAGTTACGACTCTAAACACCAGCACTTTACTTGCCTTTATTGCATCACACATGAAATGAAAATGCTGAGCTGCTCGTAAAATTAGAAGATAGTTCCAGAGGAAAATGAATTACCAATCAACGTTTACTTTTATTCTTAAAGAGATATTCAGAACATAGCTATTAATAAAAAATTCATTGTAAAGATAATTTATTTTCTGTAAATACCAAAAATTAG